TCATATCGTGCCTTCCGTATCTGACGCCACCCAAAATTGAATGCGCTCGCGGTTGCGACTTCCAGTGAAAGCAAAATAACGGATCTTTGATCAAAAAGTAACGGGGATATAGTACATACCCTCGGCGAGATCCTCAAGACCCTTGTCAGCCATATTTGCGGTTTGATAGAAAGGATCACAGACGTCTGTGATCGGTGTGGTGGGGTAGTTTTAGCGAACTTGTGGAGGTTCGCTGCGTGGGAAAGTTGACTTCTAGTACCTCAGACTCTTTATTAAAGAGTCTTTTTATAGGATACTAGGAAAGGTTGACAAAAGTGGTTGGATGTGAAATTCACAAATGGGGTGGGAGGAGAAAGAGAAGAAAAGCGAAAAAAATCAGATGGCCACAACTGCGGCGCCATTTGCTACGCTTTTTTTTTTTTTACGGGGCATTATCCCACCGCTTTCCTAATTGGATGTGGCCAAGCCCAAGCGAGTTTAGAGTGGACATGAACATGAAAAACATCTTTCTTGTTGACTATATTTTATTCATTTGAATTGGTTATTGATGGGAGCAAATTGTTGCTTGAATCAATTTCTTAGGTTTTATCAATTCAGTTTCTCTTTTTTTCATTTATTTGGTGAACTACCTTCCAGTTTGGTCAGGTCGCCACTAAACAGGATATTTGAAGCCCTAAAAGTGCCAGCCTCAGATCATGCCTGACATAACATCATTGCCGAGTCATCCACCACCACAGGATGCAGAGATCATAAAGGAGGCCATTCCCTCCCACCCGCTAGGTGTGAAACCAAGTGGAAATGCTCTGTTGGCTACCTGGAGTCTTCGTAACGCCATAGGGACCTTTCAACATCTGCCAGATGAACTAATCCTGTTGTTGTTGGAGGGCTTTGATGGGCCAAGCCTGTTGAAAATCGGGCGGACATGCAAGGCCTTCTATGCCTTTACCCGGGCTGAAGAACTGTGGAAGGCGCTGTTTGTTCGGTAAGCCACAAGCCAGCAGATCCAAGTTGAATTATGTAGATCCAAGTCATGTTTTTGGTCTTGAGCCCTACCCTTATTCATATAATATAATAATTTCCCAATGAACACCAATGATATCCGTACTAAGTCTGGTTGCAGTGACCCAAGAGAAGATTTCACATGGCGAGGGACATGGCGGTCAACATATCTCAATATCCCTGCCTCCAAAGTGCCCATGGTGGACTGTTCCCAGCTATTCTCCGATTCTCTCTACCGGCCGTTCAACTGCGCACACATCTCACTCGACCCGTATGTCTCCAAGATCCCGGTGCGGAACCAGATTGCACGTCTTCCAGACCTGTCACCAGAGGAATTCCAAGCAAGTTGGACCGACCGACCATTCATCCTGACTGAGCCTGTCAAGGCCTGGCCAGCATATAAGAACTGGACTGTGGGGTCACTACTCGCTCGATACGGAAAGACCAAGTTCCGCGCCGAAGCCGTAGACTGGGCCATGCGCACTTACGGCGACTACATGGCGGACAACTCTGACGAGAGCCCGCTGTACCTATTCGACCGATCATTCGTCTCCAAGATGGGACTGTCCGTGGGGTCTCCAGAAACCACACCCGACGCATCGTACTGGCCCCCAGCATGCTTCGCCGAAGACTTCTTCTCCGTGCTCGGTGACGACCGCCCTGATCATCAGTGGTTGATTATCGGTCCCGAGCGGTCCGGCAGCAAGTTCCACAAAGACCCCAATGCTACCAGCGCATGGAATGCCGTGCTACGTGGTCCTAAATATTGGATTATGTTCCCGTCTAGCACGAAACAGCCCCCGCCCCCGGGTGTCTTTGTGTCGGATGACCAGAGTGAGGTGACTTCTCCGCTAAGCATTGCCGAGTGGTTACTGGGCTTTCATGCTGAAGCCCGCCGGACTCCAGGCTGTGTGGAAGGTATCTGCGGCGAGGGTGAGATCTTACACGTTCCGTCTGGGTGGTGGCATTTGGTCGTGAACCTAGAGCCGTCGATCGCTATCACGCAGAACTTTGTTCCCCGAGGCCATCTTGGAGCTGCTTTAGATTTCTTGTCTAACAAGCCAGACCAGGTGTCTGGGTTCCGGAAAAACGTGGCTAACCCATGTGAGCGGTTTATGTCCGGTATGCGCGAGGCATATCCCGAGCTGCTGGAGCAGGCTTGGGAGGAGTTGCAGAAGAAGAGTGAAGGCAAGAAGCGCAAGTGGGAGGATATTGTTCATGGGAAAACAGAGGACACCCCTGATGGACAAGACACCGAAGGAGGTGGATTCAGTTTTGGATTTGGTGATGATGGGAGTGATGTGGAAATTCCATGAACTATATGAACTATTACTGCAGTATGGAGAGATTGAATTGATGGAACCACAAACCAGCACAGTCTCCCGCCGGAAGGGGCTTCTAAACCCATCAATTCCAATCCGAAAACCAGTTCAAATTACTGACCATTGTTCTTTACACCTGCCTCTGAATCTGCAAATACGCCAATGCCCTGGATTGCATCCTTTAATGACACGCGATTGTCTTTTCAGCTGGCGTCCCATCGGAGAAAACCAAGTACCCAACAAACGCGCCCACTGCAACTGCGATCATGACCTGCCCATTATATGTCATGAAGAGCAGCCTAAACCAGGAAGTCAGCAAGCTAGGACGAAGCCAGAGGGATTGTTGGAAGGCACTCACATGATGAAGAAGCTATAGAACACCTGGATGGCGTATAAGGCCGCCGTGATAAGCTTGCCCTTGCGCACCAACGCCGCTCTGTTATCCCTTCCTACAAGCAGTGGTGAGCTTTCGTGGTGAGTGTGAGGGATTGCATCCGCCAGGCCGTTGGCAATGATAGGGTCGGCGATCTCAGCGTCTGCAGAGAGCCAAGGCATCAATAAGAAAGAACCTTGCTCATTCAGAGTATACCATCTCCCTATCATATCTCCAAAACATAGCAGGAATTATTGCAAATGTAGTATGCTTGACATTGTACTTTGACCCACAAAAAGAGCAAATCACTTACCCCCAGTAGTGGCAGTAGTGCCCAGGAACGCACTGAGCTGCTGTGCATGGGCAGCCTCGTATTTCCGAGTCGCTGATCGTACCCCCTCGTAGCCCGCAGCAAGGATAACGATAGCGATGAGGGAGAAAAGAAAGGAGAAGGGACCGGTGACATGCCAGCTGCGGAAGATGATGCACAAATTCTCGGAGGACCAGGTGAAGAGCATCTACGATTCAGACATTCGATATTAGCATGGGATCAAAGCAGACCGAAGGCTATATATCTCACATTCATATTGCATTTCGCACCCATATCCATATCGCCGTGGCCCATATCACCGTGACCCATGTCCATGTGCATCGAGTGGTCCATCTTGAATAGTAGTAAATAACCACGCAATAAAAGTAACAAGAGCCTTATTATGTTTCAATAAAACAAATGACAATATACTCATAAGAGAGCAGTTGGTACGAGGAGAGACAACTAGCAAAGCACATCATAGCTGACGATCAAGGAGGGGGATGCAAACAAGACAAACGTTGATAAGATCTCCCAGCGGCTATAACTCTCTTAGTCCCCAACGCGGTCATTGACTACGCACTGACACAATTTCCACCCCAATCTCAACTACCTTTCGCCCATTCTGCGCATGCCATACGTGCCTTTGACGTAAAGCAAATATCCTCTCCATTGCGTTTCAACCCTCCAATAATGGCAGACACAGCACCAGCTCCAACACCCGCGTCCACGACCACCGGAGCTGCGGCGCCCACAGCCGGCGCAACAGCAGGGGCACCGAATGCGCCTGCCGATCAGAATGCCGCGAGTCGCGGGTTACCATACTACGAGAAACTGCGCCGCGAGCTGAGGGACACACTACAGAAAAAGCGATTAATGGATAAGAGCATGGTGAGTGCAGTCTCGCGCGTTCTCGTCTTCTAGGGACCGGACGTGGTTACTTTTCTAGTATTTTGTTTCTTTCGCTGCGCGAGCATGTTCTCCAACCCCACACCGTCTCGCAATATCCACCCATGAACGTGTGTAAACAGTTCCACCATGATGTGTTGCTAACACACCTCTCCCCAGGCCCAACTCGAAGACCAAATCTTCCGCTTCGAACAATCATACCTGGAAGAAACTACCGCCGGAAACATCATCAAGGGCTTCGATAATTACATCAAAGGCTCCGCGAGCGGGTCGAGTCTCGGCGCCTCAGGACTGGGTCTGGGTGGTAGCATGGCCGGGTCGAGGCGAAAGGCGCAGGTGACGGAATCGGATCGAGTTTTCTCGCGGAGCTCGGCGAGTTACATGCTGGTATGCTGAACCGAACTTACCAAGGAACTACCCGCCTTGAATACCAAGTATGGGGGGTTTTTTTTATTTGGACTGGGGACTAACGATCATTGTTTGTGTCCGCAGGATTCCCCAGGACCCTCCTCCGTACAAACAACGCCTTCCCACGCAGCGACGCCGACATCTACGACTGGTGGAGGCATGTCCATGAAGGTTGACCCGTTATCCGTTTCCGCTAGCGGGGTGAAGAACTCGAATGGCTCGTCAAAAAACAAGAAGAAGGCGACCGGCGGGTCGAAGAATACCAAGGGAAAGAACCAGACTGAGGATATATCCGACGAGGACAAGCCTTCTGTTAAGCGGTTGAAAATCAGCTACGGGAGAGACTGAGTCTTCTTGCGAGATTTACTCTTTATATCCTGCGTTCGTCTTGCATCTACTTGGCTTTTTCGGAGTTGGTTGGTTTGTCTTTTCGCATGACTCCTGGGAGGAGTCGTGTTGCTGGGCGTAGCGGGAAATGGGAATGGGATTTATCTGTCTTATTACACCTACGATGCGATATCATGTAAAATCACGAACTTATACAGACAGCGTTTGTCGGATATATCATTTGTTTCATTGCTTCCAATTGAATGCGACACGAGCTAGGTACATAAAATGGGTGCCTTGCGATACTCCCTAGGCTTGGTTAAAAACTGCCACTCGAATATGTTCCTTACAATCACAGCTGCAGTCGGTACGTAGCGACCTCAAACGCCCTCAACTCAATCTTGATCGCCGAATGACTATCTTCAGTGGCAATGTCAAGCCCGTCATTCTCAACATCCTCGAGAATATTGCACTTGAAAGCACTCTTCACAGGCAATGTTGTCTCAATGGTACCACGAGCCTTACCACCAAGTGATTCATAGACACGCAGGATAACACTCTTCCCGGGACGGGTAGGAGTACCATCCCACGAAACATCGGCATCATCCTCACCGCGCTTGACAACATCCAGAATCAAGGAAGGCGCGCCCTTGATAGACAGAGATTTGAATAGGGCATTAGAAGCAGATGCTTTAGGGCCGGCCTTTTCAACAACGAGTGGGTTATTGAAATTGAAGCCTGCGCGGATTGTTCGGGCATCAAGGGCACCGGCGTGAGGAAGAATTGCATAACGAATGTGGTGGCGGCCCATGTCAGCGTGGGCGTCTGGTGCCTTCGGGGCACGGAGCAGCGAAAGGCGCATCAGGTTACCGCATGTTGCAAAGCCATATTTAGAGTCGTTGAGGATGGAGACTCCATAGCCGTTTTCAGAGAGGTCGGCCCACTTGTGACAGCAGACTTCGAATTTGGCCATGTCCCAACTGCAGAGTAATTAGTATCGTTGTGAAGTTTGTAGAAAGTCAGTGCATACCTTGTGTTATAATGGGTCGGGCGCCTAACGATGCCATACTGGGTCTCGTAGGATGCCTCGGTGTTGGTGATATCAACGGGGAACTCGACCTTGAGGAATTTCATGGTCTCTTGCCATTCCACCTCGCTTTCCATTTCCACATATGAGGGCTCATTAGATGTGGATGCCGACAGGCTGATTGTGGTCTTAACCCAGCTCTTGTCGCTGATCTGTGTCTCAGTCATGACACTCACCCGGTGAGGGTCATTTTCTACAATGGTCGTCTTACCCCCGGGCAACTCCTTTCGTGACTCGAGATGGAACACCTCGACATCCCATGCTTGCCAGTAAAGAGGCTTGTCGTCGAAGATGACTAGCTGGCCAGCCTTGCGGTCCTTCGCGACGATCTCTCTATCGGCTTCCACATCGTACAAGGATGTGATAACCCCGTCCTGAACATCAACCCTGAGCTTACCATTCTCCAGACGGAAGACACCAGCTTTGACCTCGGCCACGGTCACCGAAGTGGTTGTCTTGAAGTCAGCTGGCTGAACTTGCATCACCCCAGTTGTACCATCAGCCACGGCATATCTGGATCCATTGTAAGCGGCGGACACCGCTGGAGGAATTGCAACGACTTCTGATCGGGGCCATGGCAAGGTGTTGAGAGCCATGAAATTTCCACCCGTGAAATCGCCAGTGAGTCCCAAAGCCTCGAGAGCATCCTTTCGCAGCTTAGCTCCGGTCTCAAAGATCTCGGCATACAACTTGTCTGAGTCGTCATAGCACATCTCGATGGAGCTTCCCGGCAAGCAGTCGTGGAACTGACAAAGAAGGGTTCCTTCCCACATCTCGTCAATCTCCTTCTTGGGATATTGATATCCACTATTGGAAGCACTGATGGTTGCAAAGGTCGCAAGAAGCTCGATCTCACGCAGGAGGAACTCGGACTTGCGGTTATTGCGCTTGTTATTTGCTTGAGTGGTGTATGTTCCGCGGTGCAACTCAAAGTAAAGCTCGCCGTACCAGGTAGCAAAATCAGTGCCAGAGGCAGCCTTTGCCTCCAACTTTGCAAAGAAGTCATCTACTGACTCGCCCATTTGCACTCGGGGCAATGAGCCGACTTGATCACTGAGACCACGGCAGCGACGCAGCTTTTCGAGGTGCCCAAAGGTCGGGCCACCACCTCCATCGCCTTTTCCAAACACAAGTAGCGATGTCTTGTCGTTGTCTAGCGACTTATGCTGAGTGACACTACGCTTGACATCACCGAAGTGTGCTTCAGCCGTGTAGGTCTCGGCAGGGGCCATGTGGCACATGACTTGGCTGCCATCAAGCGCAACCCATTGGAATGTAGTGTGAGGGAAGTTATTGATGTTGTTCCAGCTGAGCTTCTGGGTAAAGAAGCGGGTCATTCCAGCCAGGCGGCATATCTGAGGAATCTGGGTAGAGTACCCGAAGGTATCTGGCAACCAGAAAGTTGTGCTTCTCTTACCGAAGTTTGCCTCGAAGAATCGCTGTCCATACAAAAACTGTCTGACCAGCGACTCTCCACTTGGCATGTTCGTATCGTGTTCGACCCAGCTCCCGCCGATAGGCTGGAAGTTGCCCTTCTTTACCCAGCGCTTCACGCGATCAAAGACGGATGGATAGTACTGCTTAAGCCATTTGAACTGCTGAGCCTGAGAGCAAGCAAACCGGTGCTCTGGATATCGTTCCATCAGATCACATTGGTTGGACCACGACCGTGCTACCTTTCGCTTAGTCTCGGCCCAAGGCCACAGCCAGCAGGTATCAATGTGACAATGGCCAATGGCATAAACTATTGGCTGCGTGTTTGTGTCGTAAACATCGGACGAATCCACTTTGTCGCCGAGATATTTTCTAGCAATCTTCCGGGCCTCGTTAATAGCCTCGTTGCTTCCATTACCGGCAATGAAGGTATCGATAATAGAATTTGCCACGACATTGGCTTCATGCGACTCCCACGACTCACTTGGGAATTCCCGAGCGGCATCTCCAATGATCCAAAAATCATAGAAAAGTGCTCTGGCAGCTAGATTTACCGCGGTGATTCGCGCCGTGCTGAGCGTGAAGTGTTTATCGGGATTTGGTGGCTGGATTGAATCGCCACCAGGAGCATTACCAAACATGCCATTGCAAGCCATTTCAATATAGAAGGTATGCTCCTTCCCATCACACCAGCCTTTGGGGAGAACAAACTCGGTCCGTTCACCACCTCCAGTCAAGCCCTGCAGTGGGTGACCGTCCTCTGTCCAGATCAGACCTTCGTTGTTGGCATCCCAGTGGAACTCTAGATGTTCTCGTTGAAGCATGTCCTCGGGCACTGTGAGGTGAATCCGGAACCAATGTGTGGACCAACTGGGGCCAAAAGAGGCGCCTATATGAGTTGGCTTGAATTCCTGAGAGGTCGCCTCTTTGAAGGTCGGTCGCTGTAGGTCCGGAACCGAGTAAACAGAGAGCTTGACATGGTCTTCGTCCGAGTTTGTAGCTTCGTGATACTTTGAGACGAGGTTCTGACCTTCATACTGGCCGTTCGATGTGAACTGGTTCAGGCGATCGGTGTAGATCTTCTTGATACGTTGGCCGACCGGGCGTTCAGCTAACTGGGGTAAAGCTGGAGGAGCGGGGCGAAAGGGAACTTCCCCACCCATGATGACGGTTTTAGATTGTTAGGAAAAGACAACAAACAATGGTGTTTTAATATGATTGAATGAAAAACTAAGTAGTAATAGTTAAGGAACTGAGTAAAAGACCAGGGTGAGAGAGATGAAGGAAGGAGACTCTCAAAGTTCCCAAATGCGGAGGCATGACGGAATGCGGAGACGGTGATCGACAGTGCTACCGTAGACCCTCAACTATGTGCCTTACGTGCCTGATGTGCCTGATGTGCCTGGATACGGATGTATATATGTAGTATCCAAATATCAGTGTCTTTTTGATAATAATTCACATTGCTTCAACATAAATCCCTTACCCAATATACCTGGCATACTTCGTAAACTCCCCATCCCCCTTTAACCGTTCCCAATCTTCATCTCTCAGACAGATACCAACAGGCATCTCACCAGCCGCCGATCGAGGCATCAAGTACCCCAAGCCCTCAACGGGTGTAAAATGTGGTCTCCGCACGGCTTCAGGCTTACCCAATCCTAGATTGAAGTCGAGATCATAACAGCTAATTCTCGACCACGAGCTAAGCATAACATCGGATGAAACATTGACCGTGGCGGTAAAAGACGCCTTGGTCTTGTCAGCTGAGCGGCTGAGAAATGTGGCGAGGGCACGGGTACTGAATACAAGATCATTCTTCTTGGGATCGAGCTGGGACCGAAGCTCAGCGGCAACGATACCCAAAGGCTCTTGGGATAGTTTCTGAATAGTATGGGTGTTGTATGTCAAAGTCTGCAGGAGGCCTGGATAGCCTTGCGGAATACCAAAACGCTGTCTCATGTCGACTGCGCGTGTAAACAACGATTCAGAAGTTGCTTCCAGACGAGAAGCCCGGGCGCGAGCGATAGATTTCCAAATAAAAGCGCTAACAGCATCATCCGTAGAGATGAAGTCCGTGGAGGCGGGCAATGTATTCGTGGTGAGAGCTTTGAGGGAAGCAAGCTGTGCCGCGGAGATTTCGATGTAAGCCCATGTAGATTTGGGGGGTGTAACTGGATCCGATACAACATCTCTGACGCTTGGTGGGGGTTTCACAATCTGGTGAGCGAGCTCGGGGCCCGGGGTGTACGAGTCATCCAGTAGCGGGATTGCATGGCTCCGATCCATGTTACCAACTGTAAGCTCCTCGCTTGTGAAGGGCTCATTGTGGCAAGCCTTGGACAGCAATCCGATGATAAAATCTTGGCCAGTCATATCCATGACATTATGTTGAGCAACCAGCGTGAGCATTAAACCGCCCTTGATGAAATTCGCCTGGACACAAAACACCAAAGCTGACTCGGTCGTGATACTTGGCAAGTTTCCCGGTAGGTTTAGAGTCGTGCAAGGAGCAATAACGTTCTCGTCGAGCATGGTAAACGGATACTTGGCCTGGCAAAGCCCGTCCATTGTCGGCGCGGAGGAGTCATGTCGTAGATCTTTCACCACGAGCTGGATTTTGTCGAGGGGAGATATTTTGAAGACACCCGTATTACCATCCCCTGCGCCCTCGTTGATAACTTGGCCAGTAAGCCATGGGAAACTCTTTGCCAACCGGTCAAGTCCGTTTGTTAAAGTATCGATGATGGCGTCATGAGAAGATGCCTCGGGAACACGGTAAATGGAACATATTTGTGTGTACAGTTTGTAGAGGCCTGGAGTCTGGCCTAGTATATCAAGAACGTCGTTTGTCATTGTGTAGAGAACAAAATCAGTTTTGACGTCTCTGAAGTCTTCTGTTCCTGTCGGGTGGATATATAACCAACATTACCCCACCAAGTCTTCACGAGTCAATATTGCTCACACGAATCATTCAGAAACTACTCCAATTTGAGAATAACACTGAAAGGGTAAATTCGGATATATATCTAAATTTATTTTTAATCACAGAACCCTGTCGAATTAATTCACGCCCGAAGAATGTGGACCCCGCTATGCATGTTATGGGTGATATCAGACACATCTGTATGTCTTCCCCACTCTGTTTCTGAGTTGGGTGGCTGTAATAATCGTGGCTTTTGGTAAAGCGTCGCTACAGATCCAGAATATCAACGGCAGAGGGCTGCTTTTATGCTAGTTCAACGGAAATGTGATCTTGCAGACGTCGATGGACTTGGGACGTATGTGAGTGCCAATAATAATGGCGTCTCACTGCACGCAAATTTTGGATTCGTTGATTATAGTAAGGCCAGCCAAGAGACTACCTTAAACAGACTGAGTATTGCGAGAGGAGCCGTGGAGAAATGTTGGACATACATTCAATAGTATTGTCGACGCTTTTGGCCTTTGGTAGCAGTGAAGAAGGGCAAGGTATCACAAAAATTTGGAAGTTGTGCCACATAAGAGCAGCCTAAAATCGAGAACTGCTATTAGGCCACCACAGGCCTTTTAAAGCTCAAAAGAATTCCAAAATATGCCAGCTAAACATGAAACTGCTGGAGGCAGAGGTGGGCATAAAATCACCACATTCCCCCATTTCTCCTATACCACTCCATTATAAACTTGTCCATTCGACCAAGCTGGGTAGCGTGGATGTTGATAATCTAATGGGTATATAATCACGCTACCTCTAAACAATTAATTTGGATGTTGATCGATCTCCTGAGTTGGTGTGACCCGAAACGGAATTCTCAAAAAAGTCCGAAACCACACCGGCCATCATGCCTGTCTGGAGCTCGGCGAGGACACGTTTGAGGGCCGGGATGCAGGTGCAGAGAATTGAGGAGCTGAGGATTAATTGTAGCCAGATGGCTGGCATGAGGGCATTCCATGTTTCATCTAGAGGTTTGGAATTATAGAGTGGTGGGAGGGATCGTAGACCAGCAATGGTGAGAGCTAGAACGCTGTGTGGGATTAGATGGAGATTTTATCGAGGTTGGGAGATCGGCTACTCACAGGATCCGCGTCGCGAACAGGGCAGAGATTTGGTGGCGTTTCCACCGTATTATCTGGACTTGATGTAGTAGAGCAACTGGCAGTCCAATAATTACTACATCTAATAACATGTGTATGCTTCCCAACGCGATATATAGAACTTGTTGATTCACACATCGCTCGGGGCTGGAGTTCCACGGTTGTGGTTCATTGCACTGTTTTCCGAGCGCTATGAGTGCAGCTAGGGCCCAGGTACTGATCAAGCCCAAAACAACCTTGCATGCAAGCGTTATTTTTTCAAAGGGTTGCAATGACAGGACGAGAAGTGCAACGGCGGCCTTGGAGCACCCTAAGACGAGAACGGCGAGAAGATGACTAGCGAAGAGTGTCTTGATAATGTTAGAGAATATACTCTCAAGGTTTGGAGAAAGGTGCTTCACGTTCTGACCTGGCTATACTTTTCAAATGAGGCATTGCTCAATGCATATCGATGCTTACCAATACCATGGGAACTGGCTACATTCACACAAACAGTCTGAGGAATAAATATGATCTAGTGGATTGATCAGAAAATAGCAATCATTGAAAGCGAAGGCACTTACACAACTGAGAAATAGAGTTGAATCGCTCCAGGAAATTTTGCGCAAAACACGAATGCGAGATATCAAGGTCACTGTTGTCGCGAGAATGGTGATAATAAGTAGAATAGTGCTCACGGTGATAACCCAAGCGCCATGATCATTATCGGTGACAGGTAAGAGCGGCGGTAAGAGAACCGCTATGCTGGATGACATGGCCGTCGAAATATTCTCGTTGGACATAGTTGAGCAAAGTCATGTATATGCCAAAGGTTAGCAGAAGAGACATTATATGTTATATGCAGACCCCAACCACTGTCCGAGTACCCTCATATCGGGTTCTTTATTGGATCTTCTAGACCACTGGAGGCACACGAGCACGATCGTTTCTGTCTTGCGACTGATCAGTCTATCTCAAGTTCCACAACCGTGCATCTTTCGGTCCCACCTCCAAAGCAGGCCGGATACTGGTTCTGCAGCATACGCCGATCCCATACAGGCAAGACAAAGACAATTTACCGTGAGACAAGGATTCTGCATGATCCTTGTTTTTGGATTCATGACCTCCACGTCGGTTTTGCTTTTTCTTTCTCCGATCTTCCTTCGGGACTTGTCCAATGTTCTGTTTCTTGTCATCAACTGTATTTTTCGCACTTCCGAGAACAAATGGAGCGCCTTGAGATGCTCTCTTTGGAAAGGGAAAATACTATCGTTGGAAAGGCTGCACCAGATCAAGGTGCAAATGTCTCCAATGCCTATAACCGCCCCTTTAAAAAGACTGGACCCACGGAACAGGCTGCACCTAAGGTATGATACAATTTGTTCAGTCAACAAAGTGTACTCAACTGAGACAGTATACAGCGGCTTTTCAATTTCACCCAGATATTCTTTTTCTCACTTACTTACTTGTCCAGCTGGGAAACCCAGGCTTTGTATGAGAGCCTTATCCCTTGTTGTACCTGAACACTAATAACACAGATACTGTTTAGGAATTTAAGTACTGTACTCTCAAATGGTGGCCCTGAGGCCTTAGCCTGGGGTATAGTAATTGTGGTGTTCGGCGCAATGGCCCAATCTGCCTCACTAGCTGAGATGGCGTCGATGCAACCAATCGCCGGGGCTCAATATCACTGGACACATTACCTGGCACCGCCGAGCCAGAGGAAATTCATCACTTGGATGCAAGGTGTCACAATTATCGAGTAATGCCTAGATCAAGACTAACATTATATAGGCTGGGTGACCTGGTTTGCGTGGATCTCCACACTCGCCGGTGTTGCTAACACCACAGCCACGATGATCCAGGGCCTAGCGAGTGTGAACTACCCAGAGTACGAGGCAAAGCAATGGCACATAACCCTCATCATTATTGGCATGCTTATTGTCGAAGCATTGATGAACATGTATACATTTTGGATGATTCCGTGGATTGAAATGCTGGCGGGTATTCTGCACATCTGCCTTCTGGTTGTGTTTCTGGTTGTATTCACAGCTCTAGCACCTCGCCACACACCAGAGTTTGTCTTTCTACACACGCAAAGTACTTCTGGCTGGGCAGAATTCCCCGCATGGAATATAGGTCTGCTCACTCCTGTCTGGGGGTTTGTCGGTACGTGCGCACTAAATACTTGGAAAAACATCAAATACAGCAAGCTAAGCTAAGCAGGCTTTGACGGTGCAGTACACATGAGTGAAGAAGTTCGCCGAGCGAAACAGGCCGTTCCTAGGTCTATCTTTTATACCGTCGTCGCCAATGGTATCTTGGCATACGCAATGGTTGTCTGCATGCTTTTCACGATGGGCTCGGTGGAGGAAGCCCAGAAGTCAAGCTTCCCGATAATCGAGATCTGCCGGCAAGCAACCGGGTCCGTCAAAGCCGCCACCGCGATGGTGAGCGGGTTACTTGTAGTCTCGCTGTCGGTCAACCTGGCGAGCATCGCGTCTGTATCAAGGTTGACGTGGGCGTGGGCTCGCGACGGAGCCCTGCCCCGGTGGTTTAGTTATGTATGTAACATTTGCACCAGACAGTGAGATATAAGATAACACAGAGGATAATTGCTGACAATAATGGCAGATCGACCGCAAGCACAACGTGCCAATTCGTGCTGTTTGGCTCCCAGTACTCGTCGTCATGGTTCTAGCGTGTTTGAACATCGCTGACGGTGCGGCTTTTGGGGCGTTCGTCGCACTCGGTTCGATTGGCCTCTTTGTGTCGTATTTTATTGCTATCAGTTGCATGGTTCATAACCGGTTTCAGAAGCATGTGGCCCCTCTTGGGAACTGGAATATGGGTATCTGGGGACTTCCAGTTAATGTCTTTGCTTTGGTGTATACTGCCTGGGTAACTGTGTGGCTGGCATTCCCGTCGGCGTTGCCGGTTACTGGGGAGAACATGAATTATGCAGCACCAATTTTTGGTGCCACTACTTTGTTTGCTTTTGTATATTGGTTTATTAAGGGGCGGACTCGTTGGGAAGGATTGAATAAGGAGGTTATTCGACTGGTGGTGGAAGGGGGAGAACTTCAGTTAAAATGACTCGTTTTTTATTGTTCATCAACACTACAATCTGCCTGGTAGCAGGGTCACTATTATGGTAGGAACTTATAGATGAGGTAGTCTATATATTATATTTTCGTACAATATATCAAATATCTACTACGTGGATAGAATTGTATTGGAATAGCTGAAACTTTTATTCATAGATTGATTGCAAGCTAGGTATTTCTAACGTCGATGGCCGAAAACGAGATCCATGTCAATCTCCACAAATCCCTGGTGGATTTCATTCAATTGCTTCTCTGCAACCTCTCTAGCGGTTGCAAGAATAACGGCACTCGGTGCGTCATAGGGTCCATAAACAGGCATTGAGATACATCGAGGAGTGAGACGATGGAGAGGCTTGAGGCTGACCTCGGCCTCCCCATCTTTGATTCGACGGATCATACGTCGCATGAGCTTTTCGCTGGAATATGATCTATATTTCTCGTGGAAATGCACTGTCACAAAATAAACGCACTCGTAGTCTCTTACCTCCCACTCAGGGAGACCCGGACCACCGAACTTGTATCTGAACATACCTGGTTGCATCATATTGAAGGTTTGGCGAGGAACTTGCTGGTTGTTTGGTTAACTGTATGATAGATTAAATTGCTGAATGGAATGGATAATTATGAACAAGTACCTGGGGTTCAGGTCGGTTCAAATAGGAAGATAGGAGACAATCATAATGGATTTTCAATCATTTCTTTGTCTTCTGGCCTTTGGTAGAGACATTGATCTTTGGTTTGAACAATAGCTTTTTCCACTTTTCCAATGTCTTATAAGTGGTCAAAGGCAAGGTTGCTCTTTGTCTTTCTTGTGTCCAGCGTACATACTCATAGTAAACCTAGTCCCCAGCGACAAGCTAGGAACCTCACTTGCTAGATCTATTCAGACATTCCCATTCTAGGGATTGAGAATTTTGATCTTACTTTCATATACCCCGTAGGAGAAGTGACAGCTACAGTCCTCGCGAGAACCGACGTAGAACCCGAGGTTGCAATATATTGAATACAGGTGAATCTTGTGGGTGGCAACTTGTCAATCACAACTTTGCCCAGGTACAGTACTAGGCGAATTCATTGAGAATAAAGCCTGCCAAAATGGCTCTTCATGTATCTACACGCAACTACTTTACGAAGATTAAAGAAGGGTGTCAAGTCCAAAAGCATAAAAAAAGTTCGCTAGTGTCATTCATCGTAAAAAGACCATGGGCGGGTGCCAGCATCACCCACAGCCAATTTTTGCAGAGCAAGCTCATGCTATATACAAAGAAGGCACCGCCTGAAGGAGGGAAAGAAGGGTAAAATTAGATCCAAAAGATCTTGGGAATCAGTGAAAGGAAACAAATCGATCCAAAAGTAGATCAATCAGAGGCTTGAACTTAAGCCTTGATACAGTACTGATATCCGAGCCACAGATCCGAGCACTTCTCATCGAGGCCAGGGTTCAAGCTGCGGAGATCGGAGAAAGAGATTCCGACAGTTTCGGTCAACTTGGCGCAGAAATCACCGCTTGTGACGGTGTAGTATTTCTGGCATGATGAGGTGGCGTGGGGGTAGAGAGGTGCTGTTCCGGATGATGAGTGGGGGGCTGCTGGTGCAGTGGTCGCGGCCGGTGTGGACCTAGTTGTCCAGGATGGGGTAGCGGTGGTCTGCGCGGCCAAGTTCACGTTCGCATTGGGGGTCCAGGTGGGGGCAGGTGCCGCGGAAGTGGTCTCGGCTGGTTGGGCGGCCTCGACAGTGGCGGGGGTTGTTTGAACAGGAGCAGCGGTCTCAGTAGGCTGTTCAACAGCGGTCGAGGAAGAGGCCTGGATAGTCTCGGCAGTCTCGGTGGGCTGCTCAGCAGCGGTTAAGGATGAGGAGCTGCTCGAGTCATCGTCACCAGTGAGGGCCGACTCCAGGCCGTTAGTAATACTTCCAATGGTAGATTCGATACACTCGGTCACATCGCCGGCCCAGCCGCGGACACGGTTGGCGATGTCAGAGGCGTAGCAGTGGGTTGCGCCGCCCTGGCCGAGGTTGCCGGATGAGTCGATAGAGCCAGAGTTGTAGGTCCGGGCGGCCTTGTAGTACTTTGTCGCAGTAGAGCCGCTCTGGGCCTCAAAGCACTGCTTGAGACCGTCGCCCTGGGTGGTTCCAGCGGTGCCGTCCTGGATCATTTGCTTGATCATGGAAGAGGGGCAGGGAGTTGTCTTGCTGCCGTCCTTATTGCAGGAGCCCTCGCCAGCGTGGCTCTGCATGAGACCGGTGTTCACGACACCGTTGTCGGTGGACTGGACGCGAACGCAGCCCTTGCTTTCTTGCATAACGATTGCAAGGATGAATCGAGCGTCGACGCCAGTTTCGCTGGCGATCGACTTGATGCTAGTGTTAATGTCGCTTGTTTCGTCGTCAGAGTTGTCGCATGAAGCGGCAATCAAAATTTGGTTGAGACCCCAGCTAGGAAAAAAAACGTTTAGCTCGGCGCTCTGCTTTTCATTTGGGGTTAATCTACTACTCACAGAGTCTCGTACTCCGACCATTGGCTCATCGAAGGCCATCCGTCGGAGACATCACCGTTACCACCCATGACAGCATAAGTGGCAGCAGCGCGACGGTGCAAAGAATGGTGGTGGGACTTCGCGCCATGAGGAATGGCTTGAATGAGAGTAGATAGACTGCCAGCAGCCAGGATCTATATGGGAAATTAGCGATGGTTGCATGGTTGGTTGGGAGTGGAGAAGTGGACCATGTCGCGCTCGACCACCGGTTCATGCGACGTATAGACATACCAATGAAGGAAAGAACATTTTTTAGAGGGAATGAGGGGGAAACGACGAAATTGAAGCGACAAAGAAACGATATAGAACTGTGGAAGAAGCCCTGCTTGCACGGTCGAGAGAAAGAAAAGAAGGAACGGGGAACTAAAGTATATGTACTCACCAGTAGCTGTGTGCCCTTTGCCCTTCCTTTCTCGTTTGGTAAAGTGATCAGTCGAGGCCCGCAGCGGAATCGAATTACGTTCAGAGGTGGCTGTAAAAGTGGTCCAATAGCGGGCTTTGGGCCTTGCGCGGGAGGGTATAGTGCCTGTAAGGGCTGAAACACTGCCCGAGAGGGGATCCAGCCGCTTGGTTCAGGTGCGATTGGCCGGTTTCAGATAGCATTAAGCCCCTGTGAACGAAGCTAGTTGGTCCTTCGAGTTCATGATGGCGCTCATTGGCGTTCATCACCCCGTTCGTGGGTTGATGATTGGCCCTGTGTGGGGAGGCTAGGATCATCCATGTGGAACTCCGATGGCGAAGTTCGTCCTTTTCGCCTCCTCTTCTGCCCCCCCGGGTGGCTGATCAGAGGGAGAAAGCATTTGAGTTCCGGTTGGTTGTGTATTGTGTTCCTGAATTTCTCCCCTGGTACCTGAATGATTCACATTCACCCGTGTCCATGGACGCTTCCAGGGGTTACATGTGACGGGTATCCATGTATCTAGTAGCACTTTATCACTTTTATCACCTTTATCACATTCGGACATAAACTCGAATATTAGACAAATAAATTGCTTGGGAATTAAGAAAGTGGGACCTTTCTGTTTGACCCCCAAAAAATAAGACAAACAAAGAGGGGATGTCATATGTGTACTCCATAGGGTTGCATCGAAATGTTCGAATAGCCGGCGAGGCGCTGGTGGCTGATTGTTGCCTGTTTTGTCAGGCAGCCTGTCTGACTTGGACCACACTGTGGTCTCACAACAAAGACAAATTGCTTTTTTGTTCATTTCTTACGGGCATCAATACGAAGTAGAACATCTCAATTCATCCCATACAGTCCTATTGAGACCCCCTCGTGGACTATATCATGTATTATAGTTCTACCAGAGCTACAGCATTCGGCCCCATTCGCTTCACCTTTGTACGCTTGCAATGATCACGTCCACGTCCAACCATGCGATTATTAATTAATACACAAGTCACACTACATGACACAGACACGATGTCATGGTGTTATCCATAGTGCAGTAGGGACGATCAACCTACTTTAGGATGGGCTCACCGGTGGAACAAAGTTCTTTTAATTCATTAACGCGTACTTCTCCGCCTAGTCTAACCCACAATAGAAGGTGAAAGAAGATCACCGTTATTCATTTCTTCTCTTTCCCTTTTACTCCGTACCTCGGGAGAGTTTATGTTGTACATTTACTTTGTACTCTTCGGAGTGATCATGGATCTATCAATGATTTCGGTCGGATTGACCCCATCCAGTACCCAGCCTTCATCGCAAATGTAGCTTCGGACTTCCGAGGCTGATCCATGCAATTCAATGCGACGTCTTATGCACAGGAAGCACACTGATCGACTGAGGACCTACTCCGCACTCGCCCACCTATCCGCCAGCCATCAATAATCTATGACCGCTTTGTAGCACTATTGCATTGCAATTACGATCGACCTTTTTAAAATCACCTCATAATAGAGATTGCTAGCATATCAAGGGTCCAAATGTGTGCCTTAAGTCGCTGATCATACAAACCTTTAATATTTTCATGTTCGAACTAATTCAGATAGTACTCCGTGGCAATTTATATTCAAAAATGTATATATTTGGTTAAGATATACTAACAAACGACCACCTGATCTCCGAAATGAGTGCTGCCAGCTCCGTCTTGGCTTAGTCCATTCTAGAAGCCAGAAACGCCAAGACATGGCAAATACAGCTGGCATCCGACGCTGTTAGACAGTAATTGTAGTGTTTGGATCGCAATCACTACTCCGTCCATGTGGTCATTCGTTGTACAGGAAGCTAATTGTTACTGTTGTTTTACACACGAATACACTTTGTGTTTTCAAAATAAATCTGCTAATATTATTTCAAATAAATTTAATCCAAGTACGTACTCCACACAGAAGTAATAGTAACTTCAATTCAAGACTGTGGCTGAGACTGAGGCTGGGCAAGACCGGAGCCCTGTGGGCACCAGCCACGGCCTAGACATTTGACACCCACTACTAGTGTGCTATATATATGCACCATATATTTAGCCTTGTCATGAAGGATTTTGGCAGATTCTATTTTGCTTGAAGTCTAACCCTGCGCTGCCGTGTCTCACGTATGGGTGAAACAACCTTGCCTCGAGACCTCGGATTAGTAGTCCAAGATGATTAAGGCGAACCACCCTTTGATATGCAGAATATCAATAATAATTGTACCAATGACAATTTGGTATGCAAATACCACCTATACTACTCCGTACGTGCAGCAGAAATCAATATACCAGCGGATACATACCTATTTCAGGGGCGTCTTTTACTTCGTAGTCCCTTGTGAAGATCCATGATCGTCACCTGCAACATTGGCTAGACTTTACAGCCATCTTTCCAATTCAAACGATCAGCTCCAACAGCCTCATATAATCCAGCCCCTGAGAATCCCAGCCCCTTTCTCCTGTCGATGACATACTAGGTACGATATAAGGAGAAGCCTGACATCATACGGACAATGTTTGTGCTCCGCAGGGAGCACGGAGCACCTATGTAGAGTTCAAAATCCTCTGAGCCTAGGGACTGATCAATGGGTCGTCATTGTCAGGCTGGGTTGTTTTCGCTGATAGCCATTTACCTTGGGTGGCGCAAGGCTCGTAATTGAAAAGCTTGCGCTTCATGCTGATATGAGTGGCTTTTATCGGCATCGCACATGAGACGCCGGTCTACGCTGTAGCGTGTGCTAGATATATATATAAATAACCCAGCGCCAGAATTTTTATGGCAGAAAGACCTGCATCATATATGGAATATATAGCTAATATTACTATTAGTTTCGTACGATGACCTCCCCAAGTTGTATGACATCTATTGTATAGCTTGGGTTGAAATGTGGTGCATTTTGCGTTGAGCAGGTAGCAAAATAAGGAACATTGGAACCGAGGCTCAGTGACGTATCCACCTGCCCACCTGGGCAGGTGTGGACCTGCATGCCCAGGTGCTTCCATCCTCAGAAGGTTCGCCGGCATACAAACTCGCGGTCATTCGAGAGCTTAGCTAACTAGATATGCCCCCCCGGGGCCCCTTCTACTGCCTCTAAGCCTCTGATTGCAAGTTTTGTATCACGATATGTATTGTATAAAAAATTGTTGCCGTGTAACATTAAGTACGTGAACAAAAAATGTCTAAAACATCTTCTCGCAATACTATTGATTTTGAGTAAGAATATCTCGAAGATTCTGTATTGATAAAATCTCTGCAACTTGTTATCGTAAGACATTTGATCGAGACCCGTGACATGTTGAATAATCTCAACACTTGGCATGGCGCCGGATAGATAATTGACCCGTTGCTGTGGGTCTAAAGATGAACTATGGACAGATCCGGCACCCGAACCCTTATTTCATTTGAACCTTCAACCGATTTATATATTGTGGTCGCGGCCCTCATTTTAGCATTTTCATATTTTGCTGAAAATTTCAACCAGAGATGTTGTCCTTGAACATTCCATCATACTCGAAGCCATCGGGCTACCAGGTTTCTGAGTTGGCCAAGCCGGAGCTCAGTGATCCAAAAGATGTGATCATTAAGGTTCATGCGGCGAGCATCAATTCAATCGATGTGAAGAAAGCTGATGGGATGCTGAAGTTGGCGATGAAAGACTCGTATGTGATCCCATATACATTGCAAAAATTCGTACCTGACATGCATAGATTTCCCTATAAAATCGGCTATGACTGTGCTGGCATAGTCACAGAGGTTGGATCGGATGTGACGCGGTTCCAAGTCGGAGATGAAGTCTATACGAGACTGCCGGAGATTTCTCGAGGTATGTGCAACCCCGACGATTAGATAGGACCCCACTGACATTCGATTACTAGGATCTTGCAGTGAATATGCTAAATGTGCAGAGAAATACATTGCCCTGAAGCCGTCATCACTATCATTCGAGGATGCAGCTTCAATCCCTCTGGCAGCAATGACCGCACTTCAAGCACTCAGAAAATACGAAGGAGATCTGGCTGGAAAGACTGTCTTTGTGCCCGCCGGCTGTATGTTGCTTTTGTCCTGCAAACTGTTGTGTATGGATCTAACATGATGAAAGTGAGTGGAACAGGTCTATTTGCATGTCAATTGGCAAAGAATGTGTTCCATGCAGGCAAGGTCATCACCACAGTCTCGACCTCAAAGATGGAAAAGGTCAACGAGCTCCTAGGCGGAGGAACGGTGGATCAGAGTAAGAACTCAAATTCCGCTTGGGTAAACTTTTGCTTACACACTTACAGTAATTGACTACACAAAATCCCACCCAAGAGAGGTCATCAAGTCTGGCTCCGTGGACTTCCTCTTTGATACAGTTGGTTCTGCAATGGAGTACCTCTCCCTAATGAAACCAAAATCTGGACGTATCGTGTCGGTTGCAACCATGCCATCGGGCAACCAGCTCCAGGAATTCTCAGTGAACGATCAGAACATCCCCATTGCTTTACGAATGGCACTTAATGCTTTTGATTATGTCCGTAAACTAAGGGCAGGGCGGTATAGTGTTGAGTATTCCTATATGTTCCTGAGTCCGAATGGTCAAGATCTGGACGAGTTGAGAAAATATGTCGAGGAACGCAGGTTGAGAACGGTGGTGGGAACCACTGTTGAGCTTTCTGATATTGAAGCAGTACGATCAGCTTGCCAGGTTGTTTACAGTGGGAAGGGTGGCCTCGGGAAGGCTGTTGTCAAAGTTGCTAGTTCATAGTTCCTTTAAAGCGATAAAAAAATAATTCGACAGTATTATCAACTGGCATTCTGGGCTGAAATCATGCGCTAGCTTATTTAGAAAGCCCTGAAAAGGTGGATACACGAATCTTATCAGAGATTGGCCTTGGTAAGCTCCAATTCAGTCCACTCCCACAAGCGCTTCCCCATATCCTCATTGCATGCCCATTTATTTCGACGTTTCAAAATTCCGACAGGCACATAATATCCACCATTAGTGAGATCCTCCTTTTTCGCAGCGGCGGCAGCCCACAGCGAGTTACACGCGCCCTGGCGCACCGACGAGCCAGAGAAATGCAAAATCTTAGAACCCAAAGCAGCAAGCAGAGATTGCGAATTCAGAGCGCCATACAAGTTCGTTACGATAATACCTGGATGAACCGCCACCGACATTATTGACGGGTACCGCCTGCTGAGTTCTGCTGCGAAGAGAATATTGGCAGCCTTCGAAGCTCCGTACCGAGCAAGTGTGTTGACCTTCTTGAGCTTCTCTTGATCTAAGATTTTCTCAGACGCTGGCGCAAAATTATGCCCCACAGAAGCGAGCGTTACGACGCGGACATCTGAGCCTGGCTGTTTAGCTGTCTTGAGCAGTGTTGGCAGCAGCAATTTGGTTAGATAGAAGTGCCCGGTGTGATTTGTGCCAAGTTGAATCTCATGGCCCATTTCAGTCTCTCCAGGCGGCAGAGCCATCACACCAGCGTTGAGGATTAGGACGTCGAGACGGGACGACTGGGCGTTCACTTGCTCCGCTGCGTTCTTGATGGATTTACCTGACACCAAGTCCAACGGTATCCAGCTAATTTCGACGTCATTTGGAACGGATGATTTTACTGACTTGATGGCTTCCTCTGCCTTTGCTCCTGAACGTGCACCGAGGAAGATCTTCTTCGGCCTGTGCTTGGCCAGCTGGAGGACTGTTTCTTTGCCCAACCCTGCATTTCCTGTGTAGGTGCATAGCGTTAGATTCGGTATTAATGCCCCATTGATATACGGTTTAACCTACCGCCAGTGACCAAGATGACCTTCCCGGTCAGATCTGGAATATCATTTTCGGGCGTGAAGCTTACTGCACCCGCGTAGTTGAGTGCATCTATAGCAGCTATAACCCATCCAGACATTTTGGTGAGAGGTAGGAAATGTTGGGGTTTAGGTTATGTTCGATGCTGAATTGCTTAATCGCCGATGCTAGCAGACTTGATATATGTACCTGGGTAAATGTATCTCCCCGAGCTAAACTAAAAGTTCCAAGACCTCCGAGGGTTATCATTATTAGAGGTACATATCCCACGTGAACTACATTCAATGAAACCACTTGAAGAGTCCTACAGGGCTGATGAAGTGTCTAGTGATGAGACATATTATGATATAGCCGCATGTCAGTATATTGTGACAGCACAAATATGGGTAGGTAACGATCAACTTATAGACCCTGGGGAGATAAGGGGAATTATGGACTTGAGATAGTACTTTTACCACGTGCCTTTCTGGTTTGAAACTGAAGTAAAAGTTAGACGTGATCACCCTCACAGTCTTCATGCCAATACCTCACACTTTTGTAGCAAGTTTGGTGTTTGAATAACCAGGCAACTGCGAATTCCCAAATGGTGGTGATGAAGGAGTATCGATCTTTGTAGGGTTTAATGCGAGAGGTTAGGATATTGAGAGGTATTGAGATCGTCCTGCTCGCAGAGCGTGCTGGCTTAGGCACCTAGAAGCGTGGCTATCCATGGATAGGCGGTGATACGGAGGGCTTAAGATAGGTGTGAGCGTTGTTGTGAAATGCAATCTTCTCTCGATCAGTATGCACGAGATGTGTTTGTGACTTTGGCGACTTCGGGATAGTTCGAAGTGAGCAAAGTCTGAGTAGGATGTGCGGGGGTTCTGGAAAGATACTATCCAAGTAGCCTTCGAAAATGGGATCCTAGACAGCTTGAGGCTCTGACGCCTGTCTTTCATCTTTCTTTTTGATCCAACGTCCTTAAGGCTCAGATCCATCTGCCTTTAGTAAGTTGCCAACGACTGATATTTTGCTCCTCTCTCTTCCCTTTCTTTTCTTCCTTCCTTCCCTCTCTCAAATACCAATCGTGAACCTTTTCATTATCCACCTTTCATCATGACACTCCCGATTCCTTCTAAACGGGAGTTATCAACACCAACGGCATGGTGCTGGTGAGAGCGATACTGCGAATTTAAGTTTGTACATTGACACTGCGTAACATCTGTTTCGCCAGGCTTACGTGGTTCCTATTGTCCTTTATTGCTTTACGCTGTGGTCTATATTGGACCTGGAGCTATTGGCATGCTGAATGCTATACCATTTCACATCACAATATTCCTTCAATATTTGACTGCCGACTAACATCACATATGCATGTATCTAGAAGGCGGGTACACATTGCGAAATCTGCCACAGCAGCAGTCACGTAAAGGCCGAATGCTCATTCCTTACCTCCCTAGGTCTCAGACATGGGATTATGACATTCCGGGTAAGATAAAAGCCCCTATATATGTTTGTATCAACGAGACTTCAGAGTACAGTTACTAATAAAGTCTGAGAAGCTTCAGTCAAGTGTGGTTGATCAACCATTTTTCAACAACCCCTTCCCACGACCTGGCGACTCTCCTGTCCATCGCCCACCGGTGCCACTTGTACCACGCGCATTGAGACATGTGGGCTCCGCAATCCCATTGCTAGTTCCACCACGCATGGAGTCACCACATGTTTTGCTACTTCTATCAGCGAGTCGACAGCCTCCCCTGCTAAGGCTCTGGACGCCGAGAAATCAATGATGTATCCTTGAATGATTAATGACTGAAGGGGCCCGCCCCTATTTCTTGTCATCTATACCAGAAATAGTAAGCAGAATGGCAACTATACTTTCCCATTCGATCATCCACGTCATTTTCTGCGATATAAGAGAGAGGTCTGAACGGTTCAGGTTCGACCGATATAATATCTCTGTAGTCTTGAGTATGAGAACTCCATTATGTGTGGGGTGCTTTTCCTATAGGCTCACCGTGGGGTTCTGACTGATATGCAAGGGATGATGGGTGAGAGTCGAAAGTCCCACCATAGTGATGTCCTTTTTCGATGTCGAGGTAACTGGATGGTTTTTACGCCATGACAAAGTTCAAAGCTCTTGTCACAGCCCTGGAGGGAGACAACGATCATACATGCTCAAACTCTGAGGATGCTAACAAGCCCCGAGAGGCTATCTCAATACCATATAGAAATATATAGATATATAGGTATTTGAGGATAATGAACAGAGGAAGAGAGACAGGCCAGTGTAGTTTATAAGAAGCTGGTGGAACTGTCTCTATCTATATGGGCTGGGCTGGGATGAGGACCTGATCTGCAAGGCAGAAACGCAGGCAAAGCAAACATGAACTCTACAGGCGTAGAAAATATATGAGTGCAACCGCAAGATACAGATATCATGCGAGATATGATTATTGGCAAATAATCCGAGAAGGAAAGTGGAAGTGGACTGTAAACAATTCTTTATATTAAATGGACTCATCGCTGCGGTCCTCACCGTCACACGGCTCTTCCCACTGTAATATAGCTGCCTCATGGCGTAATCGTTACGCTGTACTTTTCATTGACTTTTCATCTTGCTATATTCTTGTTCAAGGCAATGCATATGACTTTGGGTCACATCGATGTGGGCTCCATTTCGACATGATCCCTATATGTAGAACTGTGGCCTAACAGGTTGGTATCATTCTCACAACAAAAGCATCAATGGATGAGTGAGTGAATCGATTTATTATTTGATTATGCAGTGGCTTCATTTCTCTTTTGGATCAACACCATCAAGGAGACGTTTGATTTTCCACAGGGATATCATCGCATCAATACCGAGCTGCTCCTCTGGTCTGAAGAACAGTGCAGTGTGTTGGAACTGACCGTGGGATTCACGGAGCTTTTTGATATCAGACTCAGACAAAAGCACCGACAGATCAAACACAGGAACCTTCGAGCCGGTTTGCGTGAGGGCCACCGAGTCCAAAGAGCCGCTCGACTGAGACTTATGACCGGCAACCGCATAATCCTTTGAGCCAAGAAGCAGGACTCCACCACATTCCATGCGACCAAACCGCTCCAGACTTCCCAGGGCTTCCTTCAGTGCAGCATCCGAGTACTCGGGCAGATCTAGAGCCCTCCAGACTCCATTGGGGGTGCCGACGCGCTTGTATTTCTCGAGGACTGCATCTAGCTTCTTAACAACGACATCCCTCATACCCCGCAACATAAACTCCGGCGTATCCTTCGACCAGATGATTCTTTTCTCTTCATGGGCCGTCACAGGGCCCTGGGGGTGCTTCCATCGAAATGGCAACAAGCGCATAATCGGTGGTCTTTTCCCGCCCTTCTTGGAGAGCGGTGCTGAAATAGATTGAATAAGTGGAAGGATCTCAGCAATGCGAAGCACAAGCTGGCGTCCAGTCTGCTTATCTAAGGATGTTGGGATTGGTGATACATCCTCTTCCTGGCCTTCATTCTCAATGTCTGGGCTTTCTTGTTGACCTGGAATGGTTGGCTCTGGTGATGAACTGAGCTTCTTGGTCTTACTGCTTTGCAGAGAGTCCTGCAGCAGACCCACAGGCATCATATGAAGTTTGTCTGAATTCGGTTGTCTAACAAGTCCCCAAGTCCCCATCAGGGCAGATGGAAGTCGTGCAGCAGTTACAGAGCACATACGCGCCGGGGAAGCCAGCATCACGGCCCATGGGTTCTTGAGCAGGTCGGCTTCCTCCTGTGTTGTGGGGCGTCTCTTTCGATTCTTCTCAATCCCGGAGCGAGGACGTGTGAGGAGGGGAGATTGCGGGAGCCTCTGCGAAGGAGGTATGGAGTTCGGATTCGAATTGTCAGTCTTTGTTTCCAAAATAATTTCACTGAGTTGGTCGGTTTGTCGCGAGGTCGAGATGCCCCGACTAGCTGCCTGAGCCTGCGACGTTGCTAGCAGTTGTCGGAACGCACTCAGGCGCCATTTTGCGTACGGGATTCGTGTGCCCACACACTCCATTGTTGGGATGGTTGAGAGAATAGAGCTGATGGTGAGTGAAGTTCAGTCCAGGACGGAAAAGATGATCTCGGAGCTGTTGCAGGAGCCAATCGGAGCCCCTTATTTGCGGAGAAGTTGTTGATCGAGCAGTGATTGCCGAGTAGCGTTACAGGTGGTGAGACGACCTAATTGGGGTTCTCGAATACTAGATCAAAAATTCCCCCTAGAAGAATCCTATTTTCCAGAGAAATTTAGTACTAGACCATCGCTGGCATTATTACTGTCACCAAGTGTTCACCTTAGCTCCTTATCTTAGCGCCTCTCTTATCGTATCGGACGATTCACCGTCTAGGGTCCCGATTCCGACTCTGTATTTCCAACTTCATACAACCAGATCGCTTTTGCATATTTTCGAAGATGCTTTCAAGAGCTTCTGTACGCCAGTTAGGGCGATCTATCCAAAATTCCCCCGTTGCTATCACCCGGCCCGCCGCCGTATTCGCACGATGCTTCTCGAACCAAGGACCGTCGCTTGCGCAGCCCCCGCGGAGTTGGACACCGACGCCATTCGTGACAGAGACAGTGGTATGTCTGATACCCTATATGGGCACAAAAAGTACTCAATGTGCATATACTGATAAAATTGAATAGGGAGGTGGCTGGCACACTTGTATGTTGCGCAATTGCATTCGTCAACGGAGCTTGCATATAACCCGAGACATGATCAACCTACTAACCTGCATCGCGCACTTCAGATGATATCTTTTCTCGATTAATGAAGGTAACTAGATACAAGGACACTCCCCCGGAACCTACCCATGCTAATCAAACCTCCAGGAACGTATCATCTGCCTCAACGGCGAAGTCGACGATACCCTCTCCGCATCGATAGTCGCACAACTTCTCTTCCTCGAAGCCGATAATCCTGCCAAACCAATTCACCTTTACATCAACTCCCCAGGAGGTTCAGTAACAGCCGGTTCGTGGACCCACCCCAACCGCTACCACCGACCTATACTGACTAGTAATTCTACAGGCCTCGCGATCTACGATACAATGACATATATCGCCTCTCCCGTGAGCACAATCTGCGTTGGCCAAGCCGCCTCAATGGGCTCTCTCCTTCTCGCCGGCGGCGAAGCAGGCAAGCGCTATTGTCTCCCGCACTCCTCGATCATGATACACCAGCCCTCTGGCGGCTACTTCGGACAGGCGTCCGACATCGCTATCCATGCGAAAGAGATCCTGCGCGTGCGCACTCAGCTCAATGAGATCTATCAACGCCATCTTACTGGCAAGAAGCAGTTGTCCCTTGATGAGATTGAGAAGCTTATGGAGCGCGATTACTTTATGGGTGCTAAGGAGGCGCTCGAGTTGGGTGTTATTGATGAGATTCTCGACCGTAGAGTCCAGGGGAAGGAGGGTTCTGGGGAAGAGTCTAAGCCTCCTACTGCATAAATTGCATAATGCGTCTACGGTGATTTGGTGCTTTCGGTGTCTTCTGTTTAGCCATAGGAATTTATCAGTTGCTTTGTAGAATTGGATGTTAATAAGACCATGATCTCCTTTTGTCTTTTACTTCGGGGATTTTCGTAGTTTTGATTCTGATGTGGCCCAGTTTGCCCCAATATAGGATAAACTCATTCACCATAAAGTACAAGGGAAATATATATGTACAAATAGAGCAAAACAACCTCAAGGTATAATAGCGAAAGCTTTGTTCATGGGAATTTACTAGTACATATATATATATAGTTTACTGCAGGAGCTGAAATACAAATTTGTATCATGTTGTATTCGCACGCTCTATGCGACCATTAGTCCCAACCTGGAGACCAAAGCGCTGCCGGAGAAACGTTGCCGTCTCGGGGGACGGCACAAAGCCAGACGTCGGCCGTGCCGCCGCATTTGAGTGGCGCCACTGATCACAAATTGTACCGAGGAAGCTCATGTTGACAATGATAGCATCGCCAGCCGCGAATGTATCCATCGGGTGCTCGCCCCGAGCACCAGCGCCAGATTCAGCGTCAGCAGGGTCGGCCAAGAGCGTCGTACGCTCTTCTTCAACCTCTTCATCGATGCCACTACTGTGATGTGAATCGGAAGTATAATGGGCAGGGGACATTGATTCATCGCCATCCTCTTGTCGTAGAATGCCACGCTCTTCGGCATCATGGTCTTGTGGCTGGGGCTCCTCCGCATCTGGGTTTGTCTCTGTGGTTGTCTCTGTGACTGTATCTGCATTCGGTGTTGTGGGCGCTGGTGCGGGGGCTCCATTAGTCTTCACCCGCTCGATTATCAAGGCCAGCATGATGAAATCGATTAGAAAGATTAAAAGGTCGAACGAGAGAAGCCGGGAAACAGAGACGGGAGCCTGCCCGATGAAATCGATGAACAGTCCCCCATGTAGGTAGCCGCGTGTTTCCTCGCCAGCTTCGGGACGGATCAGGAAGGCATGGAAGAACATGCAGATGAGGTTACTGCCGATGATGGCGCCGACATATGGCTGACTGCGTGTGGGTTCAAAGGGAGGTGCTTTGGGTGTGAAGAAGATCAATTGGACGATGGCACGTATGGCAAATAAGACAATCGAGCAGCTAGACGGAGAGAAACAGATGTTAGGGGTCTGTCGTGGGTGGAAAGAGGGGTGGAGATCATGATTGGGGTTGGACTTACTCCATGTAATACAGGGCGGAGAGTTGACAATAAATTAATATGTCGAGATCGCGCAGCAATCGATCAATGAAGGTGGCTTTGGCGGTCGACTTGACTTTCTTCACACGCGCGTTTTGGCTGCTGAGCGTGCCTGTTGGCTGTGGAGGTTCCGCATCGTCATAGGATATGCCGGACACGTCAGCGATGTATTCCGCATCCCGATAGGCATCAACGTCTGTCATAGAGGGTCATGAGGGCTTTAACAATATGCAACGAACGGGGTATAAGGAGTCGAGGTGGAGACTCCCCGTGCTTTGGCGGCTGGGGTAACTATGGATGGGTTGGAGACGGAGATGTGTCGAGGCGGACTTTCCTCGGTCCGGACCACGTGCTTCCCCCAAGGTACATGCACAGCACGTTTCTGTTTTATTTTAAGATGTTTGTGTTTTATGTACCATCAATCTAACACTTCAATGCTTTAAAATTGAACACTATGTTATACTACTCCATAAGGTTGGATGTAGCCTATTGTTTGTACCACTTCATACACTTATTCATGGTAAGCTTAATCCACAAGGATCGTCTTCGACAGCTCTGAGTAATGCTTGAAGAACCCAGTGAACAGACGAATGGCATGGGCGACATCATAGGTACCACCTGTTTCACGGATACTGTGCATGCTGAGCTGGGGATTTCCCAAATCCAATGTCCGCGCACCCAGCGCAGCAGACAACATAGGGCCAATGGTGCTGCCACAGCTGGAGTCATTACGAACCACAAAGAGCTGAAGAGGAACATGCTCGCCAGTCTCCTTGGTGGTCTTGCGTGCAATCTCCTCAAGGAGAACGATTCCGGGAGAATTTGTTGCATAGCGAGCGTTGGCGTTAATCTTAATCACCGGGCCCTTGTTTATCTCCGGCTTGTGGTCCGACTCGTACTTGCCCGCATAGTTGGGGTTGACCGAGTGGGCCATGTCGGCAGAGACAAGGAAGGATGTGGACAGAGTTTGCTCATAGGCAGTTGACAAGTCAGTGCTCTCGGAGGAGGACGACGGGAGGACGGACAGACGGCGGATAATCGACGGAAGAATGTTCGAGTCCGCACCCTGTGCCGTGCGGCTTCCAATTTCCTCGTGGTCAAACAAGGCAATTAGGCGGATCGCTTCTTCGTTATCGAGGGCCGATTCGTCGGCCACGGAGTCAATCAGACCAACTGTAGCACAGAAAGTGCTGTTCAAGTTGTCCAGGCGAGGGGAAAAGATGAATTCCTCCAGCATACCGCCGAGACAGGACTTGTGAGTGTCGAACAAAATCATTTCGAAGTCTAGAATATCGCTGGGGTTGACACCAGCCTCCGTAGCAATAAGGTCAACAAAGTGAGAGTGATGACGTTCCGTGACAGATTTCAAAGGTGAGAACAACTCCCCACCCTTGTCTGTGTCAGGGGTGTCGGCTCCCCCATTGCGGTTGAGTTCTGCAGCAACAAGGCCAGCGATAGGGAACAGCTGTGTTTCCTTGTTGAATGAAAAGTTCTCCTGGCGGTCGAGATGGATGGCCAGTGTTGGAATGCGGAGGACTAACATGTTAGGAAGGTACATTTACTGGGTCAACAACATAAAACATACTGGGGCGGTCAATCTTGACCAGTTTCTGCGCGATGGAACCATCGCTTTCACGAGTCATAACCCGGCCAGCGACACCCAGATCACGATCAAACCCTGGACGAAATTAGCGGTGGTGATAGTTTGAGGGTAATCAATGGCACCCACAAGTGTGCCAGATGCCTCCACCGTAGGTCTCAACACCGACCTGGACGAAACCTTCCCCGCTCTTCTTGCTAACGGGCTTGACCCTCAACACCGGAGAGTCGGTGTGGGCACCGATCATAGAGATGGAATTGCCCGGCTATATCCATGGTTAATTAAATATTATTTCTGCAGTTCCGCAATCGATACATACCTGCCATTGCTTGCCGATCGCAAAAGCTACGAGGGTAGTAGTGTTGCGAGTCAAGTAGTACTTGCCTCCCGGTTGGCAGGTTGACGCCCAAGAGTCTCTCTCCTATTGATGGATGAGCCACATTTTTACTACTCCGGGTTCAGTTTGAACAGACCTTGATTTCTTGGAATCCAGCCTTAGCCAGAAGCTGCTTGGCCTCGTGGACGGCATGGAAAGCTGTAGATAAGACAAATCAGCGACATTCCACGTCATCGGACGGGGACTACATACGGGTAGGAGCAGAATTGACAAAGGACAAGAAGTCCAGAGCAGGTTGCTTGGCAGACATTGTAGAATAACGTTTTGAACAACCAATAATATCAGGATAAAGTCGCCTGAGGACCATTGCAGGGGGGCACAAAGAAAGAAAGTTGGCTTTTGCCGCCGGAGGTTTTATTGGTTTGGCGGTGACTGCGGATGGCAATGTCACGTAACAAAGCCACTACTAATAGTCTCGGAACTATATTCTAGGTAATCAAATAGAGATTGTAGGTTTCCTTTATTACTATTATTACGTTTACGTTTACTCTACTCCGGACTCCGTACGGAGTACTCAGTAGTAGTATATAGATTGTTGTAAAGTCAACCCCACTATAGAAGCTTTGGGGCATAATTTCCAAGATGGGTATTGTCGTTGCCATGGCCCAAGCTTCATCGCGTCGCGTCGAGGCAAGCGCGTATCTCAAACCACTCTGCCCATTTCGCGTTAGAAAGTCGACCCATACGGATTACAGATCCCTCACATACCCCACTTTCAGTGGTCCAGTCAGACCAGTTTGGGCGCGTCCCTCCAAGTAAACAACAGGACTAACAGCGTGAGATCAGTTTCAATTGTGTCAAAGCCATGCTGACACAGAAGGTTCCAAATATTCTCGGCAACCAGCATAAGACTGCTTTATGAAAGTAAACCAAAGAGCTAGACCCCACTTTTGAAATAATATAAAATAGAAATCAGTGTGGTTAAAAGTGAAAAGTACTGATTTGACCTGGTTGATGGGGCCCGATTGCTTTCGCTAAATCGGGTTAGCGTACCCGACGCGTGACCCAGACAGTCGCCCTGCGCAACTCCGTCACTCCCTTGAAGACATTCATTCATTCACATGCCTGCCGCTCAGACACTTCTTTGTTGGTCTGCCTGGTGAAACAGGGCTTGCTCGTGCTTTATTCTGGAACATCTTCTGTCTTCAGGCGTCAACGGCTGGGGCCATCATTTCGCCTCTGGATCAACAACAACGGACCCTCTGCGAATCGCCCTTCAAATACCCTTGACCCGACACCCGGATTTCTGACCGTTTAACACCCTCGATTGACAGACACTTCACTTCTGTCTTATGCAATTCTTATCTCTGTCTTGATCGGTTGCACTTTGTCTCTGGGGCGAGGACAGACAACCAGACATCGCCATGGCGGACAAACCTCAGAATTCAAAGAAGGCCGGGAATAGGTCGGCATCAAGACCTCAAGTATCGCAGATATCAAACATTGCATCACCACCTGGATCGAAGACACCGCCAAGCATGCCGTCAAAGCGCACGATGTATTTCCCAGACAATTCAAATTCGGGCAGCCGCCAACGGCAAGATGGAGCAGAGCCAGTCGACCCTAGTGCGCTGGCAAAAGCATTGAAGGATTATGAGACTGCTGGAAGCCGGAGGGACAGAACCCCGGTCTCCAGTCCCTGTCGCAAGAGACAGCGGGTCTACGGGGACCGGTAAGCCACACTTTTGGTTGTCTTCAATCAGAAAGCCCGCGACAAAGCAATGGCAATCATCTATGACCCAGCTGCTGACCATAGTTTAGATTCATCCCCAATCGCGACGGACAAGATCTACAAGCGACTTATAGTCTGTTGCATGAAGATGGTTGCCCCTCAACTCCTTCCAAGGCGAAGAAACGCCCCCCTCATTCCGAGCTCCATTTCCAAAAGAGTGTGTTACATATTGGAATCCAATGCGTTGTACATTTGAACTGACTTTTCACCGCAGCTGAGGAAGCCAACCTTACTTTTTCCCGAGTTTTGCGCAGCGAGCTTTTTGGAAACACGGTCCCACAGCCTGACCTGAACTCTGCGCCACCCGACCCATTGCTCGGCTTCAGCAATGGAATCAATGACAAGACTCGATCCCATACACCACCCGCTCATATCGCTGCCAATCTCCCTCCCGCTAGCATCACCCCCACCACCCCACACAAGAACCTCTTCAACTATGGACCCTCACGGCCCGGATCGGGGCATCCAACTCCCTCTAAAACACCTCGAAGTGTGCATGGCCCTAACCTAGACGTGCGCTCTGAGCTCTACAGTCTTTCTCCCATTCGATACGACAGTCAGCGTATTCTCGAAACACCTCGGAAACAGGCCCGGTATGTAAACAAGGTGCCATACAAGGTCCTGGACGCACCGGACCTTCAGGATGATTTCTATTTGAACCTGGTCGATTGGGGCAGTAGTAATGTCCTCGGTGTTGGATTGGCCAACTCTGTCTACATGTGGAACTCCCACACTGGTGGAGTTACGAGACTGTGCGAGCTGAAAGACGATACCGTGACCAGCGTGAGCTGGATTCAAAGGGTATGCAAGAAATCTGCATGTTAACGCTCCATACATGATACTAACACTAAGGACTACAGGGTACACATCTTGCAATTGGCACTGGTAAAGGTCTAGTACAAATATGGGATGCTGAGCATTGCCGGCGGCTACGAACCATGATTGGACATACGAACCGAGTTGGTGCTTTGGCGTGGAACGATCACATTCTCACATCGGGATCTCGAGACCGTCTCATTTATCACCGTGATGTTCGGTCTCCAGACCAGTATATTCGAAAGCTCTCTGGCCACAAACAAGAAGTTTGTGGTTTGAAGTGGAACACTGAAGATGGCCAATTAGCATCCGGCGGCAACGACAACAAATTGATGGTTTGGGATAAGCTGAGCGAGACACCCCTCTATCGCTTTTCCGACCACAACGCAGCAGTCAAGGCCATTGCATGGTCTCCTCATCAACACCATCTTCTCGCTTCTGGTGGTGGTACCGCTGACCGCACCATCAAGTTCTGGAACACACAAACCGGCTCAATGATCAAAGAGGTCGACACTGGTAGTCAGGTTTGCAACCTCTCTTGGTCCAAAAACTCAGACGAGATCATCAGCACACACGGTTACAGCCAGAACCAAATCGTCATCTGGAAATACCCTCGTATGGAACAAATCGTCTCGTTGACCGGTCACACTTTCCGCGTTCTTTACCTCGCCATGAGCCCTGACGGTCAGACTGTCGTAACAGGAGCAGGCGACGAAACACTTAGATTCTGGAAAATATTTGATAGACGAGCTACAAGAGACACTCGTCGGGAAGGCAGCAAACTGGCCGAATGGGGCACCATCCGGTAGTTCGGATAATACTGTCTACTTTCTAATTTGTCTCTTCATCTGCATTCGACATGGCGTTTTTCGGTCCGCTTCGATTTGGTCACTGGGGAAAAATTATCGCATGGCCTGAGGGGGATCTCACTCTTCATCTTTTTATGCGTCGGCATCTATTGCATGTTTCTTTCCATCGGCGGTTTAAAGCATTTCGCGGGTGGACGTCCGGCGCTCATTCATTCGGAATGGGCATTTTGTTTGAGTTCCTTTTTCTTTTTTGCTTTTTTTGCTTCCTCTTGCTTTGATCCCTTCCATTCGTTCGTCCCTACTCTGGCTGTGATTGAAGCTAGCAGTACTGGCATGGAGTCGAGCGATCATTTCTACATCCACACGTTTCTTGAAGGCTTTCAGCGGCGGCGCTTGCGGTGTTTCCTGGTTGCCGGTATGCGGTGTTGCGTCGGGGGTGTTATTTCAATTTGTCTTTCGCACGGTTGCTTTTGATGATGACACGACCCTTTTTTCGGCACAAATTTGTGCCTTTGTTCCCATTTCAGAGGATTTAGCTATGCCAACCAACCTTCATGGGATCTAAACCATGCCTGAAACGAAATGAGAATCGAAATTGATAAACACCTATATGTTTCTTGGAGGTCAAAGCCCTTGTTTTTTCAACTTTACTAAGAACCCTCTTTTTCGTATAGTGACTTAATTTCTTTTTCTCAAGCGAAGTAACCCAATCAAGGAAATATCTGATTAACTATGCTATACTGTATACATTCATGAATGAGCTTCGCCTGCCCAGTTTTTGGCTCAGATGACCGGGAACAAACAAAACAAAAAGCTCGAAGAAGGGAGATTTAAAACACCAAGGGAAATCTAAAGCACCAACCGCGCTGGCTCAACTGAGAGAAGAGTCTTGATTCGCTCTAGGAATGCCTTAGCGCGGGTCTCCTCACCAACAGGGACGGTCAAGCTGAAAACGTTGGAAGCAACACCAGCCGAGGTCTCAACCGAAGCTGTAGGCACAGACTTCTTGGGCGACTTGGCACTAAGGAAGTCGATCAGGTCCTCGGTGACGGGCTTAGAGCGGACAGTCTTGGGAGCCTCGAAAGCGTTCAGCTCGGGAATATAATCACCACGGGAGGTGTTGATCGGCTGGGCGCCGAGAACCTCGTCGAAAAGCTCATCGGCGGAGGGCTTGAAGCTAGCCAGGCGGGGCAGGTCGTCGTTGGCAAGGTCTGTAGCGGCGGCAAGGAAGCGGGACAGCGGGACAGTGACACCCAGGTTATCCTGGAGCTTCTTCTGGGTCGACAACACGGCAGCCAGGGAAATAGAGATGGCGACGGAAGTCATGGGCAGGGGCTTGGCGACAATCTCCTCTTCAGCGGCGGCCGGCACGGCCGGGGCCGGGGCCGGGGCGATCTTGATGTTGCTCAGATCGAGGTGGGAAAGCTTGGCCAGAGTGGCGGCCTGGGTTGACGGGTAGTTGGCGGGAATCTGGCCGATGTATGCAAGCACGTCACCCTTCAAGAGACGACCCTTGGGGCCCGAGGCTGGGATCTTGTCGACATCGGACTTGGGGATACCCTTCTCACGGAGGAGCTGGGCGACGGAGGGGTAGAGCGGATAGGCGGGGTTCTGGGTGGTGGGAGCGGTGGATTGCAGGCCTAGAAAGGGTGTTGGTGTTAGCGCCAGTTAAGCAATGCTTGTTATATCGCAAGTAGTTTCCGCCGTAGACCTGAGCCTCGAGGAGAGGCTTTCCGTCGCGGAGATGCTGTTTGCCATGAACATGGATGGGGAACTCACGTCTGCCGACACCGAACACCTTCTGTTGACGGCGAGCAAACATGGCCGGAACCTGACCGACTGTGATCTTGACTGCCATTGCTAAGTGATTCTGGAGTTTTGGAAGATTGGGAGTGCTGCGGTGCCGATTGGGATCTTCGGCCGGTGTCGCAACTCGCCGCGGACGTTGGATTCGAAAGGAACGAGCAGGATCAACGAAGAGCCCACCACCGCGTCAAAGCGCACAAATCTCCGAGGTCAATTCTTTTGAGGTCGTGTGTTTGGCGAGGTAATTCAAAGCAGCTGTTGCAGGTGTTGAGGGCGTTGGGAGCTTTCACCGGCGGCCGGGACGGGAACATTTTTCTGCCGCTTGGTGTTTTGGCCATTATCGGCGATTTCCGATCAGAACGACGGTCAATTGATTCTTGCCCTAGTAAGTTGTCGAGCGAAGCTATTTAATAGTTGATTCTCTGCCAATTCCCCTCCGGATGAATGAGTGTCAATTGGCTGCGCGTCATGGTCTTCATCACTTTACTAACGTGAGCATCCATAGGCTCAGATACAGCCATGTCCGCCAGAACACCCGCCTTCTCAATATTCTGGCGCCAATGCCTCCAAAGTCCAATGCGACCTGGCTTTCAGATGAACTCGGCATCATCCTTGCGCTACTTCAATTCTAGTGCGCCTCGTTATAAGGCCAAGGGTGTGGCTAGAACTGTCGATTCCGCGTGGCAGGCCGCAAGCCCTTATGGGAACAAGAACCCCCGTGCCCTTGCGAAGCTGCAAACGAAAGTAATAAAAGCCGGACAGGTGCTTTTGTTCCAAGCTCCTTCTCATCGCCCATATGTTTTAACTGCATACGGTCTCTCCGCGTTTTGCTTCGCCTATTCCATCTACAACTCGAACGCGGTTCTCGTGGATCCTCTGATTCCTCTTCCAATGTGGCAGAAAACTCTATTTGGTGGTATCTGTATCATGATGAGCGTTGGTGGCACCTTGTTCATCGCCCGAACTGGCTCCCTAGTCAGAAATATCAGAGCGGTCAATTCCGATGGTCGTATGCGCGTCCTCTTCAGTGTCCGAAGCATGGTCCCTTTCAAGAAGCCTTACCAGGTCGAAGTGGCACCGGGCGATCTCTCTTTCAAGCGCAGAATCTCGGTCTCTCCAGAAACCATGAAGCGTTACGAGGATAGTACCAAACTCGGCCGTGAATTGGAAACTGAGCCAACCTTCATCAGGACGGTGAAATCTATGCCTCGCCGGATTTTCCAGAGCGTGCGGCAACTTTTCACGAACGAGGACTTCATCATTGTGCAGTTAGCGGGTCACAAAACCCATTTCCGATTGGACTCCAATGGATACATCTCGGATGATCTCCTACACTTTGGGCGCATGGTGAATGTGAAGATGCCATTCAGAGATTAATTGGCGATCATTATCCAAGTATCACGAAGGTCTCTTCGTGTCGTGTCGCATCTAGTCACGTTCTGTACATCATTTTGGCTTTGTCTCTTAGATAGCGATAGAGCACTTGTAATACCAGTCAAGAAGGCGATTTCAATTATACCATGGAAAAGTATTTTGTCAGAGTCCTACTGCTTTACTGCTTGTTAGAATATATTGTAGTATGTAATGTTATATTGCCTTCCCAAGGTTTATGCATCACTAAATTTGGGGTGCCACGTGATGGCCGGCGCGTCTTAGGTGGACGCGGTTCACCCGTTATCGCGCCCCTCCCACATCTTGCCCACAACTCAATCTTTTGTTTAAATAACAGGGTTCTTGAATTTCTCGGCGCGTTGCTCCCTCAGGAAGCCGCTGGCAAGATGGGAAAACTCATTCGTTTGGAGCTTTTCAGTATGTACGACCGGAAGATGCGACGCGGCAGTAGCTAACTTTGTCACTAGACTTCAAGTCCTACAAGGGACATCATGTCCTCCTATTCGGAGATGCGTATTTCACGTCGATTATTGGCCCGAACGGGTCCGGCAAGTCAAACTCGTGAGTGCTTCCTGGTCTTAGCCCAAAGTGCCTTAGGCTAATGCGCATTAGGATGGATGCCATATCTTTCGTTCTAGGAATCAAGTCTTCTCACTTGCGATCGACGAATCTCCGTGACCTTGTGTACCGCGGCCGTGTTTTGCGCACATCTAAAGTAGATGGAGAGCCTGCTGCCGATGAGCAGGATGGCGAACAAGAGGAGGAGCCAGAGAGCATGGATGTCTCCCAAGATGCCGGTGGAAACGACCCGAAGTCCGCTTGGGTGATGGCAGTCTATGAGGATGACGCAGGCGAGGAGCAGCAATGGCGCCGATCTATTACTAGCCAGGGTGTTAGCGAGTACCGCATCAACAACCGAATCGTGTCCGCCCACCAATATAACGAGGCCTTGGAGGAGGAGAATATCCTGATCAAGGCGAGAAACTTCCTGGTGTTCCAGGGTGATGTCGAGGCAATCGCATCCCAGTCGCCCAAGGACCTTACTCGGTTGATTGAGCAGATCTCTGGCAGCCTGGAGCACAAAGCCGACTATGAAAAGTTCAAGGCAGAGGCGGAGGAGGCCGCAGAACAGCAAACCGTTCAGCTCAACCGTCGACGAGGAATCAATTCCGAAGTCAAGCAATACCAGGAACAGAAGCGAGAGGCCGAGAACTATGCGAAAAAGGCCGAGGAACGCGACCAGGCCATTATCACTCATATCCTATGGAAGCTCTTTCACTTCCAGCGACTGATTGACGACTCCAGTGCGGATATCCAGAAATATCAAGATGAGCTCAAAGAGTACCGCCGTGGCGTCGAGAAATACGAGAAGAACGTCGAAGATGCTAAGAAAGACCATGCTCGAGTCGGTAGAGATGTCGGCAAGGCCGAGAAGAACATCATGAAGAAGGAGAGGGATATTGAAGAACTCAACAACTCGCTTGTGCCTGTCGACGAGAAGATCGACATCACCCAGAAGAAGGTTGAGAGATACTCTTCAAAGATCACCGAGATCGAAAAGGAGCGCACATCACAATCCAACAATGGCAAACAACTAGAAAAAGATCTCAAGCTTGTCGAGAAAGCTCAGGCTCAGTGGGAAGTCGAATGGCAGAAGACGATGAGCAAGAAGGGTGGCCAGCTGAGCGAAGCCGACCAGCAGGAGTACCACAAGCTCAGAGAAGAAGTCAATCGGCGTTCATCGGCGGACTCCTTGAACCTGGACAATCTGCGCCGGCAGAGAAAGACCGAAGCCGAAGCAGTCAACAGCTTGAAGGGCAAGTTTGAGAACACTGAATGGCAACTCAAATCTGTTGAATCCGATGTCCAGAACATGACCGAACGCAAGTCGTCTCTCAATGACGCCGTCAAGTCCACCTCTAAAGACATTGACCGTAAGAAGAAGGAGCTGAATGCATTGACTTCCGAGCGTTTAAAGGTCTCGCAAATGCGGACCGAGCTAGAAGAAAAACTTCAGGTGGTGTTAAGAAAACTTCTCGAGGCCGATGATGGTAAGAAGCAGACCGAACGCGAACTCCGGGCCAAGGAGTTGATCTCAGCCTTGAAGCGCATCTTCCCCGGTGTTAAAGGCCGCGTCAGTGATCTTTGCCGGCCGAAGCAGAAGAAATACTCCGATGCAGTCAGCACCGTACTAGGACGACACTTCGACGCCATTGTTGTGGACAACGAGAAGACTGCTAAAGAGTGCATTCAACACCTGCGCGACCAACGAGCAGGTCAGGCCACATTCATCCCTCTAGAAACCATTCAAGTCAAGGCATTCAACTCGAACCTGAAGGGCATGCATCGGGGCATGCGGCCTGCGATTGAGACTGTTGACTACGATGATTCGGTTGCGCGAGCAATCAGCTACGCGTGCGGCAACTCTATTGTATGTGATGATCTGGCGACGGCCAAGTATCTTTGCTACGAACGAAATGTGGACGCGAAGGCTGTCACCCTCGATGGAACTGTCATCCACAAGGGTGGTCTCATGACTGGTGGACGTGGTCCTCAGCAGAACTCCAAGCGCTGGGAAGATTCTGAGGTTGAGAACCTGTATAAATTAAAGGAGAAGCTCATGAGTGATCTCACTACCCTCCCCAAGAGTCACCGCCGAGGCTCCGAAGAAGAGACGCTCCAGGGTGAGCTCGTCGGTCTCGAGCAGCGCCTCGCTTACTCCCGTGATGAGTTGAAAGCCCTTGAGAGGAACCTCGAGAGCAAGCGTAGCGAGCTTGACTTCGTTAAGCGCCAGATGGAGGAATTGCGACCCAAATACACCGAGCGCAAGGAAAACCTTGACGAGCTAGACGAGACAATCGAAACGTCACAAGCTTCGGTTAGCACCGTTGAGGATGAGATCTACCGCAAGTTCTGTAAGCGCTTAGGGTATGATGATATCCGAGAATATGAGGCCCAGCAGGGCTCTATGCAGGAAGAGGCCGCACAAAAGAAGCTTGAATTCACCACCCAAAAGAGCCGAATCGAGAATCAACTCAGCTTTGAGAAACAGCGTATTCAAGCCACCGAGGACCGAATCAATGGCCTCAAAGCCCAATATGAGCGCGATCAGAGCCTGATTGAAGAGCTGCAAAGTCAGCAAGAAGAAATCCGCAACCAGCTCGATGAATTCGAAGCGGAACTTGAGCTCCTCCGAGAGGCACTCGAGAAGCAGAAGCAAATCTATGGCCAGTCAGCAGAAAACTTGGCAGAGCAGCGCCGTGAACTCCAGAGGCGTAGCAAGCACGTTGAAACAGCGTTGAAGAACGTCAATGCGCTTGAGGCAGAGATTCAGAGAAACTCTTCCAGTCGTTACGCTCTTCTGCGCCGCTGCAAACTTGAAGACATTGATGTTCCTTTGACCGAGTCTTCCAATTCGCTTGACAAGCTTCCAATCGATGACCTTGTGCAAGCAGCAGACCCGGATGCTATGGAGGTGGATGAAGGAGACGGTTTGGACGAGGCTCCTCCGGTGCACGATTATGGTATTGAAGTCGACTTCGATTCTCTGGGAGAGACCCTGAAAGAGGTTAGTGTTGCTCCTATCGGTTTATTTCTCAAATACTAATTCGATTACAGGAGGCCGATGACAAGCTCGAGGATGAACTGCTCGAAAAGGTCCGTGTTCTCAACAGCGAGCTCGACAAGATGGCCCCGAATGCGCGTGCCATGGAGCGCTTGGAGAATGTCGAGAACAAACTTCGCAGCACCGAAAAGGACTTCGAGGACGCCCGGAAATCCGCACGGAAGGCCAAGGAAGAGTTTGAGTCCGTGATGAAGACGCGGTCCGACCTCTTCAATAAGGCATTCACCCACATTTCCGAGCAAATCGGGCCGATTTACCGTGAACTCACGCGCAGTGCCAATTACCCCCTGGGCGGTCAAGCGTAGGTTTCTTCTTATTAAACTTCTGGCTCTGAACGGATAACTAACATTTCAACAGCTACCTCGATATTGAGGACTCGGACGAGCCCTACTTAGACGGCATCAAATACCACGCCATGCCTCCCCTCAAACGTTTCCGAGACATGGAACACCTGTCAGGTGGTGAGAAGACCATGGCCGCACTCGCTTTGCTGTTCGCTATCCACTCGTACCAGCCGTCTCCATTCTTCGTGCTGGACGAGGTTGACGCAGCCCTGGACAACACCAACGTCGCCCGCATTGCCAACTATATCCATGACCATGCCGCACCTGGCATGCAGTTTATCGTGATTAGTCTGAAAACCGGACTGTTCCAGAACAGTGAGGCTCTGGTCGGTATCTACCGGGACCAGGTCGAGAACAGCAGCAAATCGTTGACGCTTGATGTGAGTTTTGAAGATGTCTTTTGTATATGCCGATATGGAAATATGCTGACAATGATCATTCACAGCTTCGGAAGTACACCTAAATCCTCCAGGTGGGATTTATGCGGATTGTGTGATAACCCTTTGCTTTTACTTTGCTTGCTATTTCTTCATCTTTGTAGATTATTCAAACTACCCAGTGTCTATTCTGGGCAATTATTTCTATCTACAAGGCTGTTCATTGATACCAGTTCCTGTACTGTGGTTTTCAAAATGTTCTATCCCTTTTCGCACGTCATAGCTGCGGGTAGCCCTAAAAACGTCTGTTTCCGAACAACTCGCATGTCCACTGTTCATACTTCTACTGAATTTGGATGATGCTTCTTAGAGCATCTCTCGAAAGTAGATAGGGAAAAAAATTCCATTAAGACCATCTAAGTAGATGTGTCGAGGCCGCCATGTTAAATCCCCCTAGGAAATGCACTCCTCCATGGCAAAAGATAAAGGCCCCACGAAAAAAAAAAAAAAAAAAAAAAAAATAGAAAAATAGAAAAATAGCAAAGAACGGTCCACCTGTGAAACCACGAAGCAACGGATTTCAGCTTCATTTGAATGCACTTTTTGTGAAAAGCTAGGAACCCGACTTCCACCATGCACAAGACTTGGCACTTGTTGAAAGTGCCGGTGTTGGATGAGACAAGTGGATGTCTGGAAAGAAGAAACAAGAGTAAGACAAGGAACGCCGAGAACCGAGAACCGAGAACCGTGAAGTGTAAATCGTGAATCGTGAACTGAAAACATTGGTCTGTGAGAGACTTGCGACCTATTGGAGGTACTACCATTAGCAAGAAGTAGATAGCCATCGAGGCCTAGTAAATCACATACCTTCTAGTCTGTGTCTGTATGTCTTACAACCTCAGTCACATTCGCAGGCTTGACTTTCGGAGTGATCTTCATCCCAGCAACCCCCTTCGCTAGCAGAGCAGCCTTAGCTTGACTACCAGTTTTGGCTTGAGTGCCATTCTTGACCCCAGCACCAGTCTTGGCCTGGGTACTCTTGGCCCCAGCTGCGGCCCTGGCTAGAATTGCAGCCTTGGCCTCGGTGGTACACTTGGGCTGGGAGGTAGTAGTATCGACCTTGGTTGCTGTCCTGGCCTGGGTAGCGGCCTCATTCTCAGCGACAGGCTCGGCCACGGTAGGCGTCTTGTCCTCACTAGTGGGGGTCCTTTCCTCGCTAGCCTCAGTGGGAGGGTCCTCAGAGGATGACTCCACGTACGCGCCAGAGGTAGAGACATTCTCAAGAGTAGCATCCAGGGAAACCTGCGACTCAGTTGGGATGTCGGTGGCACAGTCATTCAGAGACGGGTTGCCGTGTTCACCTTCCTCGAGTGGCAGGGGGACCTGGTTAGGGATGCTGGTGAGAAGATTGTTGATTGCATCAGCATTTTTGCGAATATGAACCGCATGCCTTGTCTTGTCGGCAAGCTTGAAGTCACAGGGAACCAGACGGTCGTCGGGCTCTTGGTCGCGGTGGTATTCGTAAAGTCGGACTTTGATGCCACGGATGAGGATTGCCCAGCATCTCTCACTGGGCAGCGGGGCACTGCTCAAGCGTGGAACAGATTGATCCCAGTTGTCCTTGATTGAACCAGCCGGGTCGAGGATAACCTTCACGATGGTGTGCAGGGACCTGTCTTCGCCAACGGCTCTCACGACAAAGCAGTTCGAGTGGTTGTTCTCCTCGTCCTCTTGCCACTTGAGGACCCAGCCATCATTTGAATCGAAGGCGTAAGCCAGGAGACCGCTCACCATGATCTTGGCATTCTCAGCAGTTGGCTTAGTCTCGTATGCGGTGATGAACTCCGCAATTGCGGGAAGCGAAAGATAGTTTGTGGTTGTCTCCATGATAACACGCGTACGAGAAAAGAGTTGGTGGAATAGCACTAGTCTGTGAACGGGTAGAAAAGGAAGGAAGTGACAAGGAGGAAGTGACAAGGAGGAAGTGACAGGAAAGAAGTAACGAGGCGTGGAGGTTTGAAGTTTTAGAATTCACAAATCAGATCAAGCGGCCTCACCTAAAATTAAACCGTGCGTAGGTTAGCAAACATTTGTACATCCTTACATTTCCTACAGGTACATGGTACGCTTCTATTATTCCCAGGGAGTCCCCAATGGAAAATCCCTATCAAGGCAAACATTTGCCTCCACGGGTTACCCATTACTACTAGGTGGCTACATGTATAGATCCATGGAGAATTTTACATATAGTTTAAGTATAGTTTACACTATATGTACCTCAAGTAACGCGAAAGTGAGAGTTAAAGGAAAAATTGCGATATAAAATATGTATATCTATCTAGTCCAGATACCTGTTGTTAACTCTACCTTGACTTAACTATTCCGTTAAGTAATGCGAAAGTGCGAGTTAGGTAAACAGAAAATCCGATATGGCACATATACATCTAGTCTAGAAATTTATTGGTTGTGCTCTTTTGCCTATAAAAGCCTCGCTAGGTCTGAACATTGTCCCTACAACAATGATTCTCTACCGTGTCTATGGCCGCCGGAATGTTTCACAGGTGTGTATAAGCAACTTGGGAGAAGATGTTCGGTCGATAAGCATTACATATAATGTCCACGAAAAATTGAAGACTCGGGAGCCGTTTGCAAAACACTATTTTAGCATAGCGGTCCACCGCTAATTGGTCTAACTTGGGATGATTGACAGTTTGGGTTGTCATATTCAGGGTCTTTGCCCCTAAGATTAAAGGGGAGAGCCCTGCAGGGCCTGCACTCTAGCCGGGAAATGTCCACACTCAAGTACCGTATTACTTGCCAAATCAGCCTAATCAAGTGGGGTCTAAGACCAGGGTCCGAGAATGTGGAGCATAGTTATACCCATGTACGGAGTACTCCGTACATGGGTATGCTATGTGTGGATTTTGAGTTAGAGGTATGTACGCTAGTTCTGTCTCAGGATTCTACTCCGTATTCTTCACCCAAGTAGATGCTCCACTGTGGGGCCCTGAAACATCGCCAGACACATTCCGCAAGAGATCACAATTCAGTCGATTCAATTTCTATTAGCCAACCAAGTTAACGCTTTCCTGTCATCGGAGCACTCCCGATTTGAAGTGCAGCCGACTCAACTGCTGATAGATATCGAAAGCATCTCTCCTAGAGGGCATTTGCGATGGCAGTGTATGCATTCTTGGGGTTATAGTTGCTGTCGAAAAGCAATGGGCTCGAACTGGAGCGCCACGAATCCTATCAAAGTATGTAGTATTAGTATACAATATGATTTTCCAGGGGAGGAATGGGCACTTACCGGGTCAGCAACTCCCCAAACGGTGATTCCGACACATTTCGGCTGGTTCAGGCAAGCTTTGACAACCTATAAAAAAAATAGAGATTTAGTAGGGAGTCAATAATACCAGGGATAACATTGTGGAACTCACATTCACGTAGTCGGTAGAGCTGGCGCCAGCAATATCAAGCTCAGTGATAGCGACCTCCTTCGTTCCTGCACTGGCTAGAGCATTGAGAGCTGTGGAGGGTTGTTAGCTAATTTTCGGTCCATAAGAAGCAAGTGGGTACTTATCCTGAAACTGCAGCACCAGCACCGGCATTTAAGTGGGTTTGAGAGCCTTAAAAGGAGTGAGCAATCATATACGGTGAGCTGCAATGGCAGGTATCTTACCGATTCCGTCAATTGGGATACCAGCAGCAATCCACTTTTTGACATGGCTAACCATACCCTCCAATTTAGGATAAGAGGCAGTATCCAGGCTGTGTAAGGTCAGAATTCATGCAGAATGAAAAGAGTATAAGTATAGGGCTGCGACTGACTTGTAGTCGTTGATGTAGAGCTTTGCATTTGGGTCTGCAGCACGAGCTGTTTCGAAGGCGATCCGCACAAAGTCTTCGCCAATCACATTGTAGAAGACACTGTTACGAAGGGAACCGTCCTCGTTGAAAATTTCGTTTACAACGTCCTTAGGTTGGTCAGTAACGTAGCTTGGTACAACTCATATTATCGATACAACGTACCCAGGCGTAGATTTTGCCCTTGTAGTGGTTCATCACCGTGGTAATGTGATTTTTCATGACATCGATCAGGGTTGTTTTGTCTGAGATGGAAGAGACCCAAGATGGGAGCTGGGAGTGCCACACTTGACGAGTTTAGCCTCTTTTGTTGTGATATGCTTGAGTTCTAGAGTTTCAAGGACTTACCAAGAGTGTGGCCGCGGATCAGTTTCCCATTTGACTGGGCAAAGTTGACCTAGAATGTGTAAGGACCAGGCAAGGAAGCAATTTCCGCGGAAAAGGCTGGGTACATACCAGGTAGTCAGACCCTGTGAAGGAGAACTGTCCTCGGTTTGCTATTTTGGTAAATCAGCTTCTGGTACTCTAGTAGCCTCGAGAAAGTTGTACTTACGCTCAGTGGCGTCCCACTTCATACTGTTCTCCGGAGTCAGTTGGCCGAAGTCAGCCTTGATGATTGCCGGGGTCTTCTCATTCTTAGTCAAGGTGCCCTGATCACCAATATTTCCCAAATATTTCTTCCCATGGGCCTTGAATTTGGCATCAATGCTCACAGAGGCTTGTCGGGATTCAACTGGTCCGGCAAGCACATGGCCAGCGAAAATCATGACTAAAGCAGCTGCCTTGATTTGAATCATATTAGGAAACATGTTGGCTCCTCAAGTCGGTAAATGGAAATGAGACTGGTAGAAGACAGCTTCCGGGAGGATGAGAAGATCTTTTTATAGGGCTGGGTTCGTGAAGATCAATTGACAGTTGAAACGGTAGTTACTGGGGCAGTCCTTCCCGAGACAAATTTTACGGGTCCTAGCCCCCACATAATAAGGAGAGAGTCCAGAAGTCTTGGCTTGCGCTTAAGGGCGGAATGATTTGTTTAGTTGAAACGAAGAGGGGTCCTCAGGGGTGGAGATGACATCTACCCCGTGTAATTCATACTTTGAAGGCCAACAAAAAATAGTTAACTCCAACTTGATTAAGTACAACACAGGGGCTGCCTTGTTCAGCTATTTACATCTCTCCTGCCAAATCCCGCTCGGAGGTGAAGATCAATTGACAGTTGAAACGGTAGTTACTGGGGCAGTCCTTCCCGAGACAAATTTTACGGGTCCTAGCCCCCACATAATAAGGAGAGAGTCCAGAAGTCTTGGCTTGCACTTAAGGGCGGAATGATTTGTTTAGTTGAAACGAAGAGGGGTCCTCAGGGGTGGAGATGACATCTACCCCGTGTAATTCATACTTTGAAGGCCAACAAAAAATAGTTAACTCCAACTTGATTAAGTACAACACAGGGGCTGCCTTGTTCAGCTATTTACATCTCTCCTGCCAAATCCCGCTCGGAGGTGCCTGGGATTACATCTGGTTTTCTTCAGCTTTCAGCAAGGTGCAACCTACAGAGTACACTGAGAAGGTATAACCACCAAGAAAAGTTTGCTTAAAATTAGCGTGTTTGATAGTGGAACAGCCGTAGTATAAGATTAATGCAACTAGGTATCAGTAAGAAATCAGTCAGCTTAGCATTACCATGAAGACCCATGGCTAGACTCAAGATCTCTTCGATGCATTTACCCAATCTCAGCTCATCTCAGCCTGAATACAGGCTTGGAATAATTAATCCAATGTAGATTTTATACTCGCAACTATTTCTTGAAAGGGAATAGTCTGGTGGACTAATGTTTCTGGTTGACATAGTAGTTTATTTTGGTCAACCTCTCTGAAGTCAGCAAATTAGAAACACCCCCATGGGTCAGTCCTTTCCAACTGAAACATTTGGGATTTCATCTTCGAAGGCAATGAATTAGCTCAATTCATTTACCCAGCCCAAACCATTCAATTTATAAGCCGTCCTTGGAGTATTTAAACAAGGTCAGTTCCTGCCCAGGTGGCTTGTATCTGCGCTTCAAGTCTTCAATAAATCTCAACGACAATGAAATTCTCCAAGGGGAAGAATGACCTGGTGTCATCTGGCATGCTGTTGCTCGCATCAGTCCCAGTTGCCTTCGCCAGCTGCGCGCTTCCATCAACCTATACTTGGACATCAACTGGCGCTCTAGCGAATCCAAAGTCCGGATGGACCGCAATCAAGGATTTCACCAATGTGGTTTTCAACAATAAACACCTCGTTTATGCATCCACCACCGACGCAAGTGGAAACTACGGCTCAATGAACTTCGGCACCTTTTCAGATTGGTCTAGCATGGCAACTGCGAGTCAAGTCGGAATGAGCTTTACAGCCGTTGCGCCCACTTTGTTCTACTTCCAACCAAAGAACATTTGGGTCCTGGCCTACCAATGGGGCTCGAGCACGTTTACGTATCGAACATCCAGTGATCCTACCAATGCCAATGGATGGTCATCGGAGCATGCCCTTTTTACCGGAAAGATCACAGGCTCGGATACTGGCGCCATTGATCAGACCGTTATTGGTGACTCTACTCATATGTACCTTTTCTTTGCTGGGGACAATGGCAAGATCTATCGCAGCAGCATGTCTATCGACGATTTCCCTGGAAGCTTCGGTACGAATTCAGAAGTTGTACTGAGTGGCTCTACGAATGACGTATTCGAAGCAGTTCAAGTGTACACCGTCAAGGGCCAGAACAAGTACCTTATGATTGTCGAAGCAATTGGATCACAAGGGCACCGGTATTTCCGTTCATTCGTCTCCAGTAGTCTCGGCGGCTCGTGGGAAGCGCAGGCAGCAAGCGAGAGCAAGCCCTTTGCTGGACAAGCCAATAGCGGTGCAACTTGGACCAAGGACATTAGTCACGGTGATTTGGTTCGAACTAGCCCTGACCAAACGATGACCGTCGATCCATGCAACCTGCAGCTCCTCTACCAGGGACGAGACCCTAATGCCGGTGGCAACTACAATACCCTACCGTGGAAGCCTGCCGTGCTTACCTTGAAAAACTAAAGGGTGTTTGTGTATTTTGTAGGTGAATGGGAGTGAAGATGGAGTTGTGAAGACGAAGTTGTGAGATTTGCTAGATGAGGACTGTACACGATCCAGATAATGAGGCGAGATGGCTCATAGGAGGGTAAAGATAGAGTACTCTGAGCCTTTTAACATAATTTTCTACTAGAAAATTCAAATCTAAGTTCGCAGTAGAGTCACTTCTATTTAATGCATAGCACCTGTTGAAAGAATGAATTGTCCAGTTGACTAAGATTCTTGCGATTGGAAAATAAAAACCAAGATTTGCCCATCTAGGCAGTCTGCCGATATATATAATCGTTCCTATCGTCCTATTACTTTGACTAACCGAAGAAAAAAGCACTATGGCTAGTGAAATATATTTAGGCAGACGATGATCTGAAAAGTTGACTTCGTTTAGCAAGAGTATATCTGTTGCGTCCGTAGTCAAACTTTCAGGAACAAGTGTCATCAGACTTTGGGGAAAATGTATGAACTTCCATATGGACTTTGCATAGTCGTAGACATAGAATTATACACAAGGCCTTCAAGCTTCATTCGGTCCTAGACGTTTTTGATTTGTTAGAGGGGCCTGCTGCAATTCTAAAGACGGAACTGCGAATGGAAAGGAGGGCAGAAACTATGAATTGAGCTATGCTATTAAACCGAGATAGAGAGCAAAGATCCTAAATCTCAAAAGTGAAGATCTCAACAGGATCTGCATGTCTTCCTTGGCTGAGCTTTACTCCTTCCCTGACCTCACAAGTTCGTGAAGTGGCCAAGTTTATCATCAAAGCTTGAAGTGATTAATGTTGTTTGCAGGAGACTTTTAACCGAAACAATTTCCTAAGGGTTTGGTGGACAAATTCGATGATCTCTAAGGTATGAGACCTCATATCCTGATTGGAGACATTTGTTTTGTACGTTATGTATAGAGCTACAGGAAATACTTCACTAATAACTGTACGGAGACCTGCTCTGTACGATCTAATTCCGACGACGTCAGTGCCTAGCACAAATTTCACTGTCGGTATGAATGAAATCCTTGTTATGCCTTGCCTCGAAAGTTTACAAAGATAGAACAGTGGGCTATTGGGGAATAGGAAATCATCTGACTTGTTCAAAACCAATTCACTAGCCTGTTTGTGTCCTGCGGATCAGATAGAGATCGACTAATTGGCCAAGTAGCTATCAATGGAATGAGCAGTCAAGCGCCAGGGACGGAGTAGAGCGGAGTTCTCTGCTATGGCGACGAATGCTAAATATAACCTTATCACGCCATGATCTGTGAATTTAACCAATAGCTTAGACCCGATCAGATACAGTAGGGCAAGGACACAGATTAGCATAAATCATGGCAACCCGTTCGACCGGTCGGAGCCGCATAGTCGGAACCGCATGGGTGGAACCGACTCTAGGAGGTCCTACCGCCCATATTATGGCGATTCCCCATCTGCGCTAATAGTGACCAAATACCGAGATCCAGCTGGAGAAATAACCAAATACCGAGATCCAGCTGGAGATTTTGCCTCTATCAGAAGAAAAATAGGCTGGCCCGGATTCATGTGATCAATTTTAGCAGTATAGTTACAAATACGAGGGCTTCGGCTAGAGTTCAGCCTTAACCCAGAACTCGAACTCATTACAGGTTGCTCTTTGACTCACGATCACTACCATTACCTAGGATAACAGTTCGTATAACTACAAATTGGAAGATGGCGAGCCCGTGCGGCAAAGCAAAGACAGAATTGACAAATCAGTTGATGCGATCAATGGGTTTAAAATTGAGCGTTCTTGGTCAATTAAGTTAATACGGGAGCAGATCTGTTCTCGACCTTGGGTCTGTGTCCATGGGTTCAAAAGGTATTTGGAAAGCTTAAGAGATCGATTGGGACCCACTGGTATATGGGGTTAAAGTCAGTTCCCAACTGATAATGTACTGTAATTCATTTTTTTATCCATCCAGAGCTACCATGACTCGTCAGTGTGGTGCTTGACCCCGACTTTCTATGCTCGATTGAATCTAGACAGACAATCCCTTATCTATAATCCGGGGTCGAATGAGTTCTAGACTCTCCCTTGACAGCCCCCGAGATGGCGAGGTCTGATAACTATGGCTCTCTACAAGTACAAGGATAATAACCGGGGAAAGCGAGAGCGACGGAATCAGGGACCACTGAGGATAAAACCAAGCTTTGGCGGAGTCCTTAGCCAATGGCTCTAAGCTCCTTTCTGGCAACCCGACGCCAAGTACGGTGAGAGGAACAACAGAGTCATCAGGTGCAGTCTACTTGGGTATAGTCACCGCCACCGTCCAAGTAACTGTAACCCCAACGAACATTGCAAATCATGCCCAGTATCAACACCCCAGACACCACGGACACCACGGAGGCGACCCAAGGCCGAATTTCCAATAATGCAGGTTTCCTGCACCACTATCCTGGTACCAGGATCTAACCATCTGCACCCAGCTAGCAATGGTAATGGAATGTCAACAGGCGGGAGCCCCGGGAGCACCACCCGCCTAGACGCACATATTCATACATGCTCAATAACATTGCGCGGTGTAAGTACACTTTGTACAACAGGAACATTGGATATTTTGTTACCGAGGATTAAAAATAAAAAAAAGCAGTATTTCCAAATATGCAAACATGCAAATCCTCAAAAGTGTTGTGCAACGGTAGCAATACATACAGGAGCAGCTCGCGTCCACGGGCAGATAATGATCTGCTCATGCGCATAATGCGGTCATTATAAGGGGAGAGATTCTCTATAAACTACTCCACAGAATAAAGACTACAGTAATAGAATGAGTACAATAATAGAATTGAAACCGTAATATTGTACCCCGTATGTATTCTGTTGTTGATCCTTTCATCGCTTGGGTGTTGCGGCCCGCACATATACGCAAGGGACGCATGTCTTTTCCACGCCACTTGCTAAGGTGGCTTGGTGTATTTTCATGTGGGGATTGTGCACCCTTGGGTGTTACAGAGTTTGGGGCCAATGCGGCTCAGGGGATAATAGTGTGTATATTTTTGCTTTGCTGCTTGGCGGTGCGATGTATCTGTACGTACTCGGTACCTAGCCCCGTGTTATTGATTGCGTGGAATTAATATTGTTTTCTTGCTTTTGTCGATAATAAGGCTGCCTGGCAAAGAGCATCGGCCATGGACTATCCAATATATTCGAACCCTCAAAACTAAAAGATGCATAGGTCAAAAGGCATCAGGGAGACCGGTAAAAAAAATACAAAAGGCCGATACTTGCTGAGACCCTATCTTCAACTGTGGTCAAGGGCTGACTTTTCTCAAAATAGAAACCCTCGATATCTCTCCTCATTGCAATATAAAGTGAAATTGCCAGTACCGTTATGTGGCAGGAATATGCGGCCCGCAGGCTCCATCAAATAGCATGAAATATCGCCATACGGTTACATTATCCGATTTTGTGGGCCCAGTCTGAATAGCGATGATACCAGCCCCTAGAAAAAGCAAATAAATAAAACAAGGTCAAAGAGACGGTGGAGGAATAATAATGATAATACGGAGTACACAGCGGCACACCCTCATAACATTGGGCCTCGCTACAGCTGCAATCCGCTGCTGCCGCAGGCCGAGATCCTGGTGGCGCTACCTAGGTAGCTAATCATGACCATTTTCAATCGTTGGCTATGTCGTATACCACAGGGCCGAGAAAGAGAAAAAAAGAAACAATGCCCTACTCCATAAAAGCCATAGGGAATAATGGAGCGGTTGATCAAATTCGCAATGATCAGCTTCTTGGTCTGACATCCGCGGTCCCCCGCTCCCAGTAGACACTGTCGATCCGGGAGCAGGGAACCGATCCCAATGGTAGTTCAATTCAATTAACCTTGGGGCTCCTTTTCGTAATGGATACAGACAATAATTGTCCTTCGGGTTCAAAGAATGCTTTGACTCTAGCTCCGGGTTGCCACGTCCGCTCATGCACGATGCCGCAGGAAGCAGAATTTGGAATCACCAACTTGAAGAATCCATGCTAGTGGCGATTCGATACATACCTCGAGTCGGTGCATTCACACCATGCTGAAAAGAAAAAGAAAAAAAAGGGAAGCGATCTCGAGCGAGAGCGAGACCAAGAGGCCAAAAAAAACAAAAAAAGGAACGATGGCGGGTGTTGTATCCGTACGGCCGGAACTACAAGCCAGCTTCCGCGAACTTGAAAATAAGCTCAAGATTCGATGGTCGCGTCTACGGCTTTGACCCCTGGGGGCCTCAACTTTCCGACCCAGGCAGACGGAAAGGATTTACCTATGTATCTCCAGGTCTTCAGACCCGCGTTGTAGATTAGGTTGGAGAAGGGCACGGACAATGGTACTTGGACCAAGCGCCCGGTGGAGATAAACATTGTAGTACTCCGTACTTGGAAGCCTGACATTACTATCTTACCCACAAATTCCCGAGGAAAAAGAAAAATAAAATAATAAAATAAAATAATTACGCAGCAAAGAGAAACATTGAGCTGTGGGCGCAGCTGCGCGCGTACGATGTAGTTGAAAAAATCCACTACGCTGACGCACTGGCAACGCAAGTAAGTATCCATTCGGAGTAGATCCATAGAAGTTAGAGAGATTCACCTAGACCATGCATTAGTCAGTGTTTTATTAGCCTCTCTTGGCTCGCAGGTGATGATCTCAGAGGCGTCGAGGATGACCGCTCTTCTTCTCTATCACCTGTCGTGGCTGATGTGCTAGGGATCGCCGATCGGTTAATACGATTGGATAAATAAGAGTTTCCACTTTGGGATTATTGGACCATCCCTCAATTAGGTACAGCTTGCGATTCCCGGTATGTCTACCATTTCTTGATAGATTAGAAGATAGAAGATTAGAGGGTAAACTTGGTATATTGGAGCGGGAAATATATTTATGGATGCAACGGCTTGCTGCAGATAGCCTACAAGTAGCGTAGATAGCGGAGCAAGTGTTTTTTTGAGGAATATCTATTTTGATCACT